CTGCGGAGATTGACGGGACAACGCTAATGAGCTGCCTTGGGCTTAATCCAATATGCACTGGATTATTGGGAGCCACATTTACATATCCAATGGCACCCGTGTGCCTCGTGTGCGTGCGCCTAGCCTCGTGTGCGTGGCCGCATTTAATTAATGCAGCTACAAATTTGTTGCAACAATTTGGCAAACACATTTCCTCCTGCTGTTTGGCCAGCATATTTCCTCTGTCCATATAAGCGGGGGCCAGCAGGCCAACGACTGATTGACATATCGTGCAAATGGCCATTGAACCCCCGACCGACCAAAGGTAATCACACCATCGATATGACTTATTCAGGACCCAGAACCCAGAGCCCAGTAGCCAGTAACCAGTGCGGAGTACCCAGGACCCCCCACACACACACACACAATGTTCCGTTCCGGCATTAGCCATGGCCGTATAATTAGCACAATTTCGGGCCAGCGGAGAAAACCCCCTGCACAGAACGAAAAAAGCTTATGAACAGCCACTAAATCTCTTAAATAATCAATACCGCTGGGATACAGTAAAGTTTTAAAAATATCGGCATTATCGATATTTTCGATATATATCGCCAACATGGATATTTATTATTAAAAAATTAAAAAACATCGATATATAGACTCAATATTGTTAATATATCGAAAATATCGATATTTCTCAAGCTCTAGGATACAATCGATATAAGAATATAAACAAAAACTTCTTAAAATATTAGAAATTATCATAAAGACAAATATAAAATAAATATGAATTAAGACAGGCGTATACTTACCATTTATCAGCCATTTGTGGGTTCCATAACCTTGGATTAACCATCACTTATCCACAAGATATTAAAAAATACACTTCGAAAGCGATTTTCTGCCAGTGTATCTGGCCTGGGGACTCGCTCGAGTATTTCCATATGACATGTTCGTTCGCCTCTCGTCCGGATCCGGAACATAAATGTTCCGTCTTGTCCTGGAAAGGCGAAAAGGGGAGAAACGAGTGAGAGAGGTGGTCGTGTGCCTTTATGGATTATGGATTGTGTATTGAGTATTGGGGCAAGTGTCAGGAGCGGGGCACCTATTTGTCCTTGGACGATGTGAGTCTTTGACATGACGAGGGGCCTCTTTTCCGTTGGTTAGCTTTGGCTGAGAATACGGGCTCTTTAAGTTGAGTGATTACCAGCTAGGAGAATCCATGGTGTCTTAAGGGTGCATTTCCTTCGGAATTTAGTGCCTAAAATGAACATTTAATCGACTTTAGTAATGGATTCTTCAATTAATTTCAGTACAAATTGGATATAAAATCAGTTCAACTATATAAAGGTAACTAATTTCGCATTTTCCCAATCACTGCCGTAACACGCACACGCACATACATATTATAGAAAATTGAATAAATAGGAATACTATAAAAAAATTATAAATTCCTTGGCAAACACTGTATAAAAAAATCAACCTGCAGTTCTTTGCCTGCGTTGACCTTTGAAATCCCCATGAGAGATCAGCCGGGACTTAAGCCGAGTCGGAATTCTAGCGTACCTTTCATCATGCCTCAACAGCTTTAAGGACCAAAGGAGCGTAAGTTAAAGCTCTTGGAAAACCTCTTACCAAACGCTCCTTCGTCGCACACATCTTCTGGATTTCTTTTCACCTCTGTGTGCGTGTGTCTGTGTGCTAACCAAAATCAAGCCGCAGCCGACTATTTTGCATACGCAAATAAAAGTAAATAAATTGAAATTCGTCAGTGCCTCGTTGCCGTCTTCTCCTTCTCCCTATATTCCCCATATACATGCATATATTTTCCCTGTGCATACAACACGCATGTAAATCGACGCTTTACAACACAAATGCCACCTGTAGTTTGGGGTAGTTGGCAGCTTAAAGGTAAATTTGCTTTTCTATCTTCTTTTTTTTTGGGGCAGATTGGAGGGGCTTATTGGCTGCACGGAGGTGTATGCAACGTTCGAAAGTCAGTGCTTATATGGGCATCCACACCTAAATGGAATTAAATGTCGGTTATTTATGGAGACATGAGCCAAATTAAATACTTTTCTTGAGATTATGTGTAGAGCTCGTCGTATTCGCTGCCCAAAAGTCTGCTACACAGTAGGATTTACTAATCTTAAAAAAATCAATGACTTTAATCAAGTATAACCTCAACTAAATATTTATTTTGATAATTGATAATTTGATAAAATATGATATATAGATAGAACATCAGAAAAACGTCGTTGGTTGAAAAATATCGAAAATATCGATTATTTTTCATTCTCTACTTTAAAGGCTTAAAAACCTTCTTTCTTTTTTCTTTTATATTTAAGATAATCTTCCCAAGCTTTTTCCTTTTATAGAGTAACCCATAGTGGGAGTGTTCTTGCATTTTTTTTTATTTATAGCGAAGTGCCGTGGACTTTTTGGCAATTGTTATCCATGTGCGGCGTGTGATTCCCCTCCCTTTTCACTCAGCATATTTACAGATTTTCCGTTTCGTTTTATTGGCAATTCCATTGTTAAACATCGAGCTCATCCGCAAATCCCCTTACCCGTGTTCTTTCTATCCCCTCTATTTTTTAGATCGTGTGCCAAATCGATTTCGTTTTCCCCTATTCCATTTCTCTATTTTTCCTCTAATGAGTGGCCACCATAAAAATCGTTAAAGTGTTTAATCAATGGCCCTGCAGCCCCTTGGCACAATGGAATGAAATTAAGTGCCATAAATCAATGGCAAAATATAGAGAAAAGCTCACTTTTATGGCTTGTACGGGGAAAAACCACCTGGTCGTCCTCCTTGACCTTTTAATGTCAAGTCACCAGAATATTTTGCAAATGGAAAATCTACTCCGGCGATCAAAAGGCTCTAAGAAAGGAGCTCAGGGAGAAATTAGAAGGTACGAAAATAGTAACAGCAAAATACATTAAGCACATAAAAGCCAATTGAATGGAAGTGAAGTGGCCAAGAACAGCAACAAAAGGAATTGGAATTCACTGCCAGGGGAATTGGTATCCACCTGCCTCTGCCTTCATTTCGAGACCCCCTCATTTGGCCACCCAAAACAGTCACAATAAAATGCCAACTGCCAATAAATGTCAATAAATCAAACAATTGAGCGCGGCCAAGTTTTGTGACGGCGTGCGCCAAATAAGTCCAACGTCCAAATTTCCCATGTCCCCTTGTCCAATGTCCAATGTCCCATGTCCATGTCCATGTCCACGTCCAATGTGGCCCCGAACAAAAAGCTCCAATGGTGAACCGAGCCGAGCAGAGCAGAGCTGAGTGAGCCAGCGAAGCAGACAAAGAACATCAAGTACAACGACTGCGTCTGAGAAATCGGGGCATTCACAATGTTGCATGTTCTTCGATTTTAAAATCAGAGCCGTTGAGCTGGTTGTAAAGTAAGGAAGGAAAAAGCTTAGGAAGATTATCTGAAATATTAAAGAAAAAAAATAAAGAAGTGAAGATTAACATTGTTCAAGACATATATCTTCAATGCTGTTGAATTTTCAAGCCTCGGAAGTAAAGCCTGAAAAATAATCGATATTTTTCAAACAACGAAGTTTTTTAAGAATTAAAAAATAATAAGTGAGGCTTAGCATTGTTCAAAAATGATTTCTCCAATGATGCTGAATTTTCAATCCTTGCAAGTAAGCCTGGAAAGTAATCGATATTTTCGATATTTTTCTAAGAACGACGTTTTTTTGAAGATTTATTATAAATATAATAATGAGTCAAAATCTGCCAAGTGGGCCACCCCTGTTCCGAAGGTCCGATTTTCATCGAACTTTTTTACTTTTCCGGTTCACAACGAAAATATAAGAACTTCATTTGAACGGTTTTGCGAAATTTTGAGTTTTACCGGAGTTATAGGGGTCAAAACATGGCATTTTTGACACTTTTTCGAAAAAGTTGCACTCAGTCAAAAATTCATAACTTCGGAACGGTAAGAGATATCTTTATGATGTTTTCACTAATCGCTCAAGAATTATTATGGCTTTCCATAAAAAAATTTAAAAAAAATTAAAAATTTTTTTTCTTAAAAATAAATCAACATTTTTTTTTAGTTTTTATTTTTTTCAGTGTTCTTCACCAGCTATAGAGTTTAAAACCATTTGAAAATGAAGTTTGATTCATTACGAAAAAGATCAAAAAAAAAAAAAAGGGGCCCGGACAAAGGTTTTTCGCAATATCGATTTGAAGAAGGGCGCACAGCGGATTCCCATACAAAACGACAAAAAGTGCGTCATTGACAGCTGCAGTCGGCTGACGCTACGCGCGCAACGGCATGTGTTGACCAGCCAATTTTCACGAGCAAGCCGTTTTTGTATGGAAAACCGCTGTGCGCCCTTCTTCAAATCGATATTGCGAAAAACCTTTGTCCGGGCCCCTCTTTTTTTTTTTTTTTATCTTTTTCGTAATGAATCAAACTTCATTTTCAAATGGTTTTAAACTCTATAGCTGGTGAAGAACACTGAAAAAAATAAAAACTAAAAAAAATGTTGATTTATTTTTAAGAAAAAAAATTTTTAATTTTTTTTAAATTTTTTTATGGAAAGCCATAATAATTCTTGAGCGATTAGTGAAAACATCATAAAGATATCTCTTACCGTTCCGAAGTTATGAATTTTTGACTGAGTGCAACTTTTTCGAAAAAGTGTCAAAAATGCCATGTTTTGACCCCTATAACTCCGGTAAAACTCAAAATTTCGCAAAACCGTTCAAATGAAGTTCTTATATTTTCGTTGTGAACCGGAAAAGTAAAAAAGTTCGATGAAAATCGGACCTTCGGAACAGGGGTGGCCCACTTGGCAGATTTTGACTCTAATAATTGTAATTTTTCCTTGAAGCACAGAGAGAATTAAGCAAGTAATTTATTTAGAAAATGGGATAGAAAATTAGAAAATGGGATAAATTTTTCCAAAATTTGTACTGGAAATTTAAATACTTAAATATTATTTTATTTGATTAATTCTCTCCATAAATAAAAGGCACCTCAATATTGTTAGGGCTAAACACTCATAAGGTTATATATTTATTTCTTGGCTCCGCAAGAGCAACGTTAAAATTTACATGTACAACATGTACAAGAGGAGAAGACTTGACTGCAGATTTTGGCATCCGATTGACATCTGAACGATGGACAATGGATGATTTGGGTGATGCTCGAACGAATGGTTGGGTTGGGCTGGGTTGTGGTTATCTGCTAGGTGAAAAAATACCGAAAATAACTAAAAGGGGCTGTGTGATGATGCCCTATTTGATTTTTGATATGGGTTACAGGTTACGTCTTCTTCTAATTACAGGGTATATATCGATTTGACAGTGGATCCCTGCTTGACCATGGTGTCCTTGTGCAGCTGATACTGCAGCGAATAGGCGCTATCCATGTGCAGGCCCTCGCGCAACTTGCGTCCAATCTCGAGGACAGCCTCCTCCTTCCCGCCGTCGGCGGTCCACACAGAGATCTTGTTATTCTTGCCGCGAATATTCACCACGACGCCGCACAGTTCGACCGAATTCTCACAGGCCTCGCCGATCAGGCAGAGCATCGAGTCCATCCAAAAGTTATCGAGATCCGTCTTGGCGGTCTTGCTCAAACTGATGACCCAACGGCCGCCACGGCAATTGGCCTCGTCCTCCCACATCGGTCGAATTCCCTTCTTAAACAGGCAATAGTCACTGCCAATTTTCAGATCCGATGGCGGCTTTATGTGGGTCACGAGAGACCAAAAGTTCTCCACGGTTTCGAAGCTCGTCACCTCGTGCAGCATTTCCTCCCAGGTCTTGGTGCGATCGTTCTCCAGATACCACAGCGTCCAGCGGTTGTTCAAAGGATGTTGCGGTCCCTCATCGGGCTCTTCGGTCTCCTGACTATCGATGGTATCCTCCTCCGCCTCGATGGTCACAAGATTGTCATTCCCCTCGCTGAGATCGCTGGCTGGTGGCTCATTGTGCTCCTCCTGTGGCACTTCAACTGCATCCTTCTGGACATCCTGAGGTGCCTGAGGTTCCAGAGGTTGAGAAACGGCCTTTGCATAAATCTCGGGCTCCAGCATCTTATCGAGAATTTTCTGCTCCGATAGCTTCTTCTGGATCTTCTTCTCAATCTGCTTTTGGTCTGGATAAGTGTTCTGATAGATCTTGGGCTCTAGCATCCTGTCAAGCAGCTTTTGCTCCGATAGCTTCTTCTGGATTTTTAGCTCCAAGAGCTTTTGCTCTGGCGTCAACTTATCCTGCCCATTGTTCTTCTTCTCCGGCACATTCTTCTTGTCTTGAACATTCTTCTTGTCTTGAACATTCTTCTTTTCCGGTAGACTTTTCTGCTTATCCTGCACTTTCTTTTGCTCGGGAAGGACCTTCTCTTTGGGTTTCTCCTGCACTTTCTTTTGCTCGGGAAGGACCTTCTCTTTGGGTTTCTCCTGCACCTTCTTTGTCGCCACCTCCTTTGTCTGATTCTTTTTTAGATTCAATGAAGAGGAATCCTTGCTCACCTGGCTAGGATTACGAGGAGGCGGCACAGTCTTCTGATTCTTCTTGCCCTTCTTGTTCTTGTTCTTCCCCTGCTTTGGGGTATCTTGAGTCGCTGGAGTCACTGCCTTCTTGGGGGCATTCTTCCCCGGTTCCTGGTTCTTCGCCGGTTGAGTTTGGGCCACCACTGCAGCGGTGGTGGTTTGTTGAGAAGATGAAGCTGCCACCTTCTGGAGGGACGACGAGGAATCATCGTTGGTGCTGCCGCTGCTGCTCTTGAACATCGATTTCGGATTGGCAAAGTTCTTCATCTTGTAAAAATTGTTGGGAAACATGGCGGCTTGGGGAAGATCTGCAGGGTTAGAGATGGCGAGTTTGGGAATGGTGGTTAGCAATGCGGCACTACTTACTTCTACTCTAATCTAGTGTTTCCGGTTTTTTTTTTTTTACTAAAAACCTGCACTGTGCTTGTGTTGTGTTCCTGGCATAAGCAAACCTTATAAGACAGCTCGTAAAACTCACTTGAAAAGAAAACTCAACGACGACTATATAGTGAGAAATATGTAGATTAAATTTACTCCGAAACATTTTATTCCGAAATTTCCGAATTTAGGTTTTTTTTTTAGAATTCTATGTGCAACTAACTATTATGTCCATTTTTACGGATTTTTGGATCCTTAAAATCGGAATAAATTTTCTCTAAAACTCTGAATTATTTCCGAATTTCGGATTTTTTTTTTAGAATTTTTACATTTTTTTGCTCTAAATAAATTACATAATATTATTATACTAAATATTTAAGACCCAATATCAATGTCTTTATCAGGTACATTTTCCCTTTACTAATAAGACAATCACGCGAAAACTCTTCCCCTTTTCTTCACATGACTCATTCGAACGTGAGTTGGAAATTTTCGGAAATTTAGAGGGGCAAAAAATAAAAACTGACCAAGAGGAACGTGGCGTGCAGAAGCTGCCAACTTTAGAAACAAATATTTACACACCCTTTGGACTTTCGAATGATTCAAGTTGGTCCAACAGCCGGAAGCCTGAAAAAACTTGAGTGTAGGGTAACACATCACGCATTTCTTATTAGCGTTTGGCACTCGGAAAGAGAGTTTTCTTCGTGGAAAACTTATTACGGTTACGGACTAACCGGAAGCAAAAAGCAAAAATTGGTTCCTAAAAAAAAGGAAAATCCAGCAAATTATAAGCAACTATATTTCTACCTATGAATATTTTCAGGAGCCGAAGCAAAGCTCGAACTAATGGCAACATTTGTTGTTTGCTCTCGTGTCGAATGTTATTTGGGCCAAAAGGGAAAGAGCAAACTTTCATTTGGCTTTGGCTGTCATAAGTTTAAGTGGGGCCAAAAGAGGGAGAGCATTCGATTCCAATCGAATGAATGAATGAAAAATATCACAGTCAGGAATCGAAATCAAAAATGGGCAAATATTTGAACGGACCTGAGAACCTTTGACAGGCTCTCACTTTTGGCCAAGGAATTTATGGCCAATTTCTTTGACCCGATTTTGGCTTAATGGAAAATCTGTGTCTTGGCCTCGGACACGATTTCCAGTTGCAGATCCAAATCCCACCCCCCATTTAACACTTGGCGCGACAGGATGGGGATTATATGTACATCTATATATACGATATGGGGGATTCGCGCTATAACAAATGCTAAACGAAGAAAAGAACGAATGATTGTGCCAGATTTGCCTTTTTAAAAGGCGCTCAGGGATCTCATCCTCCGCATTTTACAAATGCTCTTTTAACTCAAATGACACAGTCCAGGGGGAGGAAAAAAAGGAAGGCAAGGGCAAAAGTAAAACAGAAACAGTACAAAGCACAAAAGAGCACGGGAAAAAGAGGGTCTACATATTTTTTGATACTTTTTGTAAAAATATTCAATTATTAATATTCAATATTTTGTAGATAATATCGATGTTTTACAGGAAAAAAGGAAAATCGAAAACCAAATATTTCTATGTTTAAAATAGAACGTTAGAAAGAAAAATCTATGATTACGATAAACAGGAATGTTTGAAATATGTCGACAAAAATCGATACGGTCTATATTTTTTATGACCTGTTCAAAATTGATTTAAAATATTTTTATTAGTATTAAATCTAAATTTCTGCAAATTTCTGCCAGTGCGCTCAATGCCCCTCTTAGTTCTTGGCTGAGAAAAACGCATTGCAATTTTTTACTTCGCCCGACACTCCTGCCATCAACCAATTTGATGTAAATATTGTATTAGACGGCGAACAGAGTGTTGAGTAAATTTATTGGCGGCACATAAATCGAGAGGACTCGCCTTCAACGGGTTGTCGTCGTCGTCCATTGAAAAATTAAATGTTCCAAAGGTGAATAAATATACGCACTCCTAAAATGGCATTCATTCTCGGTTGTTGAAGGTTTTCCCCCTCCTACTATTCCTGTGCACTTTCTGTGACCTATGACCTGTGAGCTTTCGTCGCTGAAATGTTGAAATGTTCATTTGAACATTTGGCTGCCCCCGAAAAACTGATGAAAATGCAAAAATGTTGTTCCCAGCTAGCTTTTCTCGTTTTTCCCTTACCCGTCGGCTGCTGCTATGCCAATTTTAATTAACAAAAAACATGACCAGCTCCCTGTTGCGTTGTGTGTGTGTTTTGTTTTGTTTAGCTCTGTGTTTTGTTTTGTTTTGTTATGTTTTGTTTGACTAGTTTGGACTTTGTTCCTCTCTATTCTTGCATTTCGGTTGAACAAGATGGGTAGTGGTGAAAAAGGGGGCTTTTACCCCGCACAATCCTACCATCCACTCAATTGCTTTGGCCAAACTTTGTGCATACTTTCGGGGATTCCCTGTAAAGCGGCGGCAGCCAATGAAATTCAAGCTGAGATCGTTAGAAACGATCTGAGACAAGAGGTGGTTACTAAATGCCGAAAGAAACTGAATTGAATTTAAATATTTTGGTTTTTTCTTGTATTTGTATCTTTTGATATCTCTGCCAAACTGTATGTACTGTACTCACTCAACGCACTGCACTTTTTCGCATATATCGCTTAAGAGAATTAAATTTATTGGGCACCAAAGAAAAACTTAAAAGTTGTTGTACAAAATTTGAATCAAACACAATTTTTGTCTGAGTACGAAATCGTTCCAAACTGTTGATTATTTCTAAGCTTACTACGGAAACGGCAATGATAAAATTTAATGAAAAGCTGTTTAAGGTAAGTAATCGACTTTAGGATTAGCGGTTTACAGAAAATCTGACAAATATTTTATAAAATATAGTTTTAAATTAGTTTTAAATATGAAAATATTAAATTTCAAAATGTTTTTAGTTTTAAATTGAAATTCTTTTTTAGTCATTAAAAACTAATTTATTTTAACAAATTTTGTGTCTAATATTTTCTACCTTGAATCAAATATTTTTACATTTAATCAAATATTTTGTTTTTTATTTTTAATTATTTTAAATACAGATATTTATTTTGAATATTCCATTTTTTCCCTATACCTTTTTACTGGGAACTCAAAGGTCGAGTTTCAACTTGATCCTACCATTTCGACTGCATTTTTGGTGACAGTTGTGTGACGCGGCGCCATTGCCTGTCGTTTCCGGTTCCGGTTTCGCTTCCGCCTGGCTTCTGTTCTCCTTGCTTTTTTATTATCTATTCGCTGCCCTCCTTGCTCCTTTGTTTTCCATTTGAACTTCGCCCCGAATCGGATGCTCAAATATTTTCCTTAATCCCAATTCCTGGATTAGTTGTGTGTTAAAGCGTTTAATTAAAAAATGCTTGCTCTTGTTTTTGTCCTATCCGCTCGCTCGCATAATTTGCATGCCAGCAACAAACGGTGTTTTGTTTGCTCATATCATTAATTCGCCATTTGGCCAAATAATAATGAATATTTTCATCTTGTGTCTCGCTTTTTGCCCTGTTTTCAGTGCGTGTTTTTTGCCCATATTTATATTTGTTCATGTCTGCACATTCACAGTCACATTCACATTTGAATGTTTTGCGTTGTGTTCTTGTGCAATGCAATTAATTAGAAGTGGATAAATGGTGCATGAGTGCACGAGTGTGTGCAGTGTTTCAGAGCGCAAATTAAATTAAATTCTATGTGCATTTTTCGCTTTGAAAAAGTCACTCGAAGCTGAAATGCAAACAAGGCATTTCGAATTCATTGAGCATTATGAAAATGCATAAACTGAAATTGAACCATAAACGCAGGCGGCGGCGGCGGAATTATCAATTAAAAATGCTAAATCATGTCAAATATTTAAAGAGTTGTTAACAAAACGCATGATGCAAAAAAAATAGGAAATATAGAGAGCAGTAAGGGCGTGGCATTCCGCCCACTGGCAGACCGTCCAACGGTTCGTGGCCAACTGAAGCCAGCTTTTGGCCAGAATTTCTTACAACCTGCTCCTTTCGAACAACAGAAATGCAAACCTAACAGTGGCAACCCAAGAAATTTAACAGTGGAAATGGAAGCAAGAAAAGCTGTTGAAGTGGCAATTTTTATACCCGTTACTCGTAGAGTAAAAATATTGTAAAAGTGTAAACGCTATTTGATTGCGTTTATTAATACAGATCGAAATGTAAAATAAATTTTTTAAATCGGACCATTCTTTAAAAAGTTATGGGTAAATAATGGTGAGTGTATGCAAGCAGTGCTTACATAGCTTCATATCCCTCCCTTTTCTCTATTGCTTTAACTAAAAACCCGACCGAGAATGACGCATTTACGCGTTTGCGTCACATGACCAGCCCCCACAAAAGTCCCAAAGCAAACAGTAATGTTTTTTTTATTATTATTATTTAAAAAAAAAAACAAATGAATGGATTTTCTTCTATTCTAGTCAAATAGCTCCACTTTTGGCCAACTTGTTTGCCCAACTGCGTGCAATTGGCTCACCAAAACTTGCGTCACGCAGCTGAACGTTTGATTGATATAAAATATACTACCTTCGATTAAAGAAAAAGAACACATATCAACGCTTTGCATATCTTAAAAAAAAATATTCCTAACATATTACATAGGAACATTAAAAATTCTACTTAAATAGAAAACACAAAAAATATATTTGGTTTTATAAAGATCGCAGCCAATTTACCTATATCATGATTTTAAAATATGATCGTATGATCTTAAAAAAAAAAAGTTCTATCCCAGAAAAATAATTAGGCACATTAAAAATTATACAAATAAACAAGCAGTTGGTTTGAAAAGATCGCAACTTGAACTACATATCAAAAATTGAAGGGGGACTTCTATAGAATAAATAAACAAATTTCCAACAGATGGCGATATTTACCATTACTTGTTGGCTCAAAAAAAGGTCGCAAACAACTTAAGCCAACAAAATTTCGGAAAGCTAACGAGTTCATAATGTAACATACATCAGCTACAGCTATATTATCTAATTAAGATCTACCCACTGCCTCCTTGAGCTGCAGTTCATCCCGCTGGCGGCGCCGCTCCAGGGTGTCCGCCAATTGCTGATCGCTGGGCAGGAAGCCCAGTCTGCGGTACCGCTCCTCCACTCTCGCCTGCAGCTGGGGCTGAAACCTCCAGATGCTGGCGTCCACAATGGGATCGATCAGCAGGGACTTGGTGTCGGGCTCCCGGTAATGCTGCATTTGCGCGTACTCAATGGGCACCGATTTGGCCGCACATGCGTACTCCTCGGTGTGAAAGAAGGTGAAGTGGTTGTGCAGTCCAACCGCGTATCGTGTGTCATGCAGGCACTTGGCTGCCGCTCCGCGATTGCAATGCTCACGCACCCGTTCCACATGCTGCAGCATGTAGAAGGAGCTGGAGAGATTCCTGTACACCTTTGGCCTTTCAGGATATCTCGGATAGTAGACATTGCGGAAACAGAAGCTCACCCACTCCTTGCAGTCCGCGGCCGTGCGACTCTCGTAATCGGGCACAATCCTCGCCAGCTTCACCAATTCCGGCCAGGTGGTGTGATTTCCAAGGGGCATTATAACCTCATCGATATCAAAGACACCCACATAATCGTACTTGTACATATTGCGATAGAAACAATCGTTGTAGGGTATCATTTCGTTCAGAATTCGATTGAAACCATCCGCGGCCATGGCATAGTGTTGAAAATGCGGCCGGGCATGCGGCTCCCCGCGGCCCAAAGACATTGGACGCAGCTCCACAAAGCCAGGACTGGTGACCAGATAATCCTTTACAACCCTCGTCATATTCGGATGCATTTGGGCGTCGTAGAGAACGACCTTGTGAGCACCCAGCAGTCGCATCAGTTCCAGCCACTCGATCAAACGCCAGGATTTATCTTCATACGGGAAATCCATTGCCTTTACACACACCACAAATTTGGGATCCACTGCGGTGCTGTTTCCTGAATTTCCTTGTTCCTCCTTTGTGGTTTCATCAATTTCGTAAACAACTCTCAGCAGATTCCTGGCCATATCGCATTTTTTGGCCACCAGCGAAACCATCTTGGGCACCTTCCACTTCATCTCTCCCTCCGGCAAAGGGCAGCTCATAAAAGTCGGATAGTAGCGTCGAGGGGCGTGACCAAAGGGCCACATTACCCGGTGCTCCGAAACGGGAACAATCACCGGCTCGGCCCTGTTATCAAACCAAAATTGGCAAAAGATTTCCGGGTACTTGTAGGAATCGTCCAGGTGCTGATTAACCATGGCCAAGAGACGAACCAGTGGCGCCTCGTCCACCGTCTCGCGAATATCGTAGTAGGCTGCAAAGAGGTAATATGTGAGATTGGCATTGATGGCCCTCTGCCAGTAGGTGTTGTGAAAGTCGATGTTCATCAGATCGGGTGCAGGTCCACAGGTAACCGGGGCCAGATGCTGCTTTTCCCTGGCCAACAGCTCTTCCAGCGGAAACGAGGGCAACTCCTCGCGAATCCATTCCAAACGCTTCTCCAAAGAGGGCACTAAAACGGAAATTATGCCACTTAGTCACTTGCTTATTTATTCCCAAACCGCACTCTTTTACTTTTAATCATCTTTTGAGCTAGTGTTCTGAGGTAAAATTTAAATGTATGTTTTTTTTTATAGAGATGACAAATGATATCCTTAATTTTCAGTACAAACTTTGTTCAGCATACTTCTGAAAACCATATTTCTAAATATGATTTCATCCAAAAGGGTTAATATTCAATTCAGGAATTTAGATCCTTTCTATGCGCTTCTCAAAAATATTACATAGTAAATGCACATTGAAATCATAAAAAATTCGTGTTTATTTAAAACACATTAATAAAATAGTCTTAACTTTATAAAACATTTAAAAAAAAAGTAACCGCAGAAATTTTAACTAAAAAAAAATTGTAAAAAAAAGAAAGAAAAACAAAAAATCACTACAAAAGGATACTCATAAAAAACGAGGCTTCACTCTTACTTTCCCTTCGATCCACTAGCAGCTCATCAAATATATCCACTTGCAAGCGCCTCTGGAACCGAGAGACGCCATCGTAACTGTGAAAATACAGGCCCACAAGGAAGAGAAGCTTCAGGAAGATAATCACGAATAAGACGCGGAACAGGCGCGTGTAGCTCGAAGACATTTCGGATCTCGACTGATCCGGAACTGGCCATCATATTCTAGATATCAGAGCCCAGGTTTAAGAGCCGAATATAGAACCTGCGGCAACAAAGTCTGTCTGTTGTTCTGCACTTGTGCCGAAATATTTGATAAGCTGTTTTCTTTCTTTATGCGTCGACTTGGAGCGGTGACCTTATGGCGGATGGAAGCATGTAAAATAAAGTCTAAAGAAATTGCGAAATAATTTTTGGTTGTTAACAAACAAACAAAACACAAACCAACCACCTGTCACCTTAAAAATAATCGAAATGAGGAATTCAGTTTGGTTTCTTCATATCCAACTTTAATTGCTACAAGTTTTTCCATACAATTTAAGAGATGTCTTGGATAGAACAGATAAAGCCCCCGAAAACGAAAACAGGCGACAGGCAGAAACAGAAACGCAAACCAAAACCGAAACGCAGACAGCAACTGAAACTCGAGCAGACACACAAAGCCAGCCGAGCGGAATCAGGCGCAAGTTCTAAGAATAACAAACAAGAAGCGGGGGGGCAGGCAGCAAGGCGACTCACGTGTGGCATCGTTGCAAGGATCCGCAGAAAGTTGCCGCAAGGTGTGCAACAGACACCGGGAATGAAAGCCCAAGACCAAAAACCCCAACCCCAGCCCAAACCCAAATACGAGTACAACTAAGCGGCCAAGTACTGAGTGCACACGAAAACGCACCTGGGCGCAAATGAATGATGATGATGTTGCCACAACAGCCGCAGGCGAGAGCAGCAGCGGCAACTTCTTTCGCAGAGTCCTGAACAGTGTCGTAAAATGGCAGAGACGAAGAATAAAACTTTTATAGCCCTTCTATGCGCTTCTCAAAAATATTAAATGGTAAATGTAGAAAACTGTAATTATCAAAAATTAACACATTATTATTAATGTGTTAACTTCATAGCATCCAAAGTATGAGATACAAAATGCGACCTTCTAGGCGCTTCTCAAAAATCTTTAATGGTAAATACATCAATATTAAAAATTAACACATTCCTTCTATGCGCTTTTCATTGTAATCATATAAATGCGGCCTTCTATGCGCTTCTCAAAAATCTTAAATGGCCAATGTGCAGAGTAACAATTTATTCAGTTTTTATATTCAAAATCAACCATTTATTCTTCTCTAGGAAACACACATCTAGCCCACTGTATTTGCTACAAGTTGTGCTCTTCTTGGCTCATATGTGGCAACCTTTCGCTTAAGCAAATTGCCAGCCTGAGCAGGGCACGCCTCCACTTTGCCGCCGCCCGCCACGCCCAGAAGCTCCTGCTTTTGTCTTCAGCTTGCGGCCAGCGAAAGTCGACTGCAACGACTCCGCGCACTCGTGTCTCCGCCCTGTTGCATTTCACTTAGAATGCTTTTAACCAAAACATTAAGCAGCTGGTGTCACATTATATCAGCGAGGCGGAGGCGAAGCTTAGTTGGCCCGGGAGTATAGAGCATAGCCGCAGCAACATGCAACGAGCAACCAACAACCAGTAACCAGCAACAGCAGAGAAATTTATGGCCCGAATTAGCCCCGCCCGAAAGGGAAGCTGGAAAAGCCCACCCTCAACATCAGAAATGCTGTGGCTGACTGAAAACAAGCCACTCAGAAGGCCCAAGTTGACTGGTAAGATGATGTGGAGAATGTGGATGTGGCCCCACTAATGAGCTGAATTATTTGAGCTGATTTTTGGATATGAAATATCCCCAAAATCCACACATTTATGCATTCTCAAAAAGTTTGGGTACTCCTGAAAACCAAATATCAATTTACCTAATCTGCTCTCTCAGCGCTCTCCAACAATTAATAACTATTTGTCCAAACATGTTACAAGTTTCCATTTATTACTCTGCTTTAAGTACTTTGAACTCCCATGTGATTAGCGTTGCGATACACAAATCTCAATTACTTAGAATGCCAACACAATGACTTCTCCACATGTTTATATATGTGGCAATGCATTAGGATCTGGGAAAATAAACAAGGGCATAGGCACAACTCAATCTAACTGCACTAATTGAAAACCGTAAATGGAAATAATGAGGAAATTTAACAGGGCCAAGGCAGAAGTAATCCTGATGGCTTTGGAACAAACAGTACAGCAGTACGTCTGCCAGTCAGTCAATCAATCAATCATTCGACCTGAAAGGTTCAAATATTCCATTGCAATGTGCAGTTGTTGGTCAAACTGATGACCTGGCCCTACCAGCTGCACCTTCATTTGCCCTATTTGTTTATTAAAATTAAATTTTGCATAATAAACTATACGAAAAATTGCCTTGTTTTTGCTTTTACTGTCTGCCGGCAGGCAATAATTTACTTTTACTTAGAGCAAGAGCAGTTCGGATTTGAATAATTGATGAAATCGTCCATGAAAAGGCATCGGCCATTCGTGCACTTTAAGCTGATTTACTCGGGCATCGAATTAAAATGCCCGCACACACAGCACCGAGTGCATTGACTGGCAAAGGCAAAGGCAAAGAGGCAACCAAACCGACGACTCGCACTCCATAAATCACTGTGGTCCTCCCCAGACAGGCAGGATGGCACAAGCGAGCGAGCCGAGAGGACAGGACACACACGGGAGTCCAAATCGGAGTACGAGGAGCTTAGCCAGCGAGTCAGTAAGGCCAAGGCCACCTGCGGAGTGGGCCAGCTACTTAAAGGACTGGGAATTTAAGAAATGGCTAGTGTACACTGCAACAATTTCAATTCAAAGAAGAATCTGCGTGTGACCAATGCAAAATAGGCGTGTGACTTGCTTATGGGTTGAGCAAGGATTAGAAACTTCTTAATTTAATTTTTTTGTAACTTATAATTAGAATATAAAGCTTAAGTAGACGCTTTATCTTCTTTAGCCTCAAACGCTATACATTAAATTAGGCGCTTCCTGCCAGACACACACCTAAGCTGTTATTTATGTTGATTAATCTATTTATATGCCTCAAGTGCAGGACCTTTAAGTCGAGTTCACCAGACTGAAAGAGTCCCTTGTGGCCCGGGATCGCCTGGATGCCACCTAGCCCACTTTATTTTGCACTAATTTATCTGGTTTGTGGTTCATAACTCAGGCCTCAATCTTTTGTTCAAAGCAAAGGAGTCGCAGTTCAGGACTTTAGGTCGAATTCTGGATAACGGACAAAACGGACAAGGGACAAGGGACAGCGGACATGGGACAGTGGAATCTGTGCGTTAGTGTTGTCTAGCTGCAGCATCATCAGCATGATTAATTGATGAAAATCCTTTTTGCCATGCAGGATAATAAATTACAATACCAGGCCAAGCGGACGGACGGACAAACGGACAGACGGACGGCGGACAGGTGGCATGGTAGCCAAAAGTAGGGGGAATCACAGACGTGTAGCATGTGTTGCAAATGGCTAACACAGACAACTTTGATTTAGCACGCAGAGGGGAGGTACAGAACAGAGCACCACCACCTAAAGCGGGCTTGCATATGCATGAGCTTGTGCCTCCCCCTCTTCTGCATTGAATTAAACTCCACGGCGAGAATGAGTTCCGTTGCCGTATCCGTTTCCACCGGTATCCACATCCACCATTCCCTTGGCCAGAACGACGACGACGATGACGCGCTGCCTGTTTCCCAAATTAGCTTAATTTCATTTAAAAGGATACAGTGCTACAAGCGGCAGAGTTGTGGAGCAAGCAGGAGGCACAGGTGTGTGGCAGCGGGAGAGCTAACGAAGAGGAAAGTTAACTGGTTCCGTATGGAATCTGAAATATTTAACTAGTTGGCAGCAGCCAGGAAAGCTGTGCACTGGTTAGTGCAGGATGGGATATGCAGGACGGCTTTCATTGAACCTTTGAGTAGTTGCCGCCTGCTGCTGCAAAGCCTGATAAATTCAAGCCTTTCTATGCGATTCTCATTATTTTAAGGAACCATACGTTGACTTTACACTTTACAATTTTTATAATTAGGTTTTAAATATTAACCTATGATCGATTTCTGATCTGGGAAAGAGCATCTGACGACCTGTTTGTTCCTTCCACGTTCTCGATTTTTGACGGGCTCTTTCTCGTTCGTGTTTCAGGCGTATGTGTGTGTGTGTGTTTATAATTCATTAGTTTGCTAAATGTATTTCCTAGCTTAATTGGGTAGTAAAGCACACGGACTAAGCTCATAAAGCAGCCAGCAAGGCAAACACCCAGCTTTCCTTCCCCAGCGAGTCCTTCACGATGTCTGATTAAGGCAGAGTCGGAAAGAAAAGCAGCTGGGCGTAGCAGCTGCAGATCCATTCACTGGGGTTCATTTTCATGGGTGGGCGGTGGATGTGGGTGTGTGTATATATGCGGTTGCCACAAATTGCTAACCGGATTGGGAAAGGAGCACAGAGTTCCGGTCAGCTCATTTGTTTGGCTTCAAAAGCAGCTCATCCGCCGAACGAAACGCTTGAGTGCAACGTGGCGTATGGTGAATATTTGAATTTACCACCCTCCTCAACCCACTGAATGATGATTATGATTGTCCATTATTGCAACTCTCTTCTGTTCTGTGTTCTCCGTTCGCATTTAAGCTATTAGCGTGCTAATCTGCCCTTTCCACAAGCAATTAACGTCTCATATCAATTTCTTCATATTTGTTTACTCTTTTTTCACAGCTTTTTAATTTTCCTTCTTGAAAGTATGCAATACTATCATCAATTACTTTCTGTACAGATATCTTGGCATACTTTAAGGATTTTCATTCGACTATTAGAAATATCTTCTTATCAATCGTAGACTTAATCATCTTAGAAATGTCGTATCTCATTTCCCTTGGTACTTGAAAAGCCATATTTTCCATCAATTTTCATTCAAGATCTGGAATCGCCAAAACGTATCGTCCAATGTTACGTCGCCAGTTGTCTGAACTTTGGCCAGTTTGTTCGTTATGCGAACCGGTTTATCATGTTCATGCGCTATTATGATAGTCAAAGTTGAATTGCCCAAGCAGCATTGAAGCAAGTGAGTAATTAAAATTAGTCTAGTTGAGTCCAAGATCGTACGAAGAATCTTCTCTCTTCCGCTCTTCATTTTTTTCTTGGGATTGGGATTGAGAAAGCGTGGGTTTCAACACACACAAGATCATATCGTTAAGTGCACTCAATGTGGAATTATTAAGAAACCGAAACAAAAACGAAAAGCCATTGCCTAAACAATAAAAAAAGAGAAACATAAACAAAAAAGTCACCTGAAACCGACGACAATTGGCAAACTGAGCCAAGACAAAATACAAAATTCCGCAAAGGCAACAATCGATCGGGGAGGAACTGCTAAATAATAATAAATCCCAATACCCCGATCACCGACGCTTTGTTCTTAATTTCCAAGCAGCTTGTTGTTGCCGTGCGGTGACAGATTGCCGACTCAACTGGAAATGCAATCGTATATGCAAAGTTTTCAACTATCCGATACCTGGCAGTCTGGTTATGTGAGTTCATTGAATAATATAAAGTAAATTAAAGTAAAATTAAATGGTAAGGATGTAGAAGAAGTATGGTTATAAAAAAAAATATTTTTTTTTAATAAAATATTTTTTGATAATATTTTCTAGGGTAATCTTAGAACCCATAGACCATATTTGATCTCACACCGTTGTGTTTGCAGAACTAAATGTCTAAATAAACCAGGGGCTTTCGACTGAACTCGGTAAACAATATACCGCGCGCTCTCTTCAACAATACCGGGTAAAATCCAAAAGAAACAAAGACCGCCGGCAATTGAGATAGGAAGTACATAAATATTAGCCATATGTCGATAAGATATAAGAAACTGCCGTGTATATCGGGGGCGGCAAATTATTTCGGCAAATTTACAATTCGGCGACAGCGTCTACGATTTCCATGATTCTCAATTCTCTATTCGACCTCCATGATAATGGGTACCAGTCGACCAGAGGGATCGGCCGACCGCCTGCTGAGTAATCATTCACGTTTATCTACGTTTAGCAATTGCCGGAAAAAGAATGAAACGCCGGAAAAAACTTTGTACTTTGTCCACACAGTGTGCGGCCCGAAGTGTGAATGATGTCACTGTCGTTTGATTGAACAAAGCCGAAACGCAATCGCACAGTGGGCCAATGAGCAATGGGCATTCAAGAGATGCAACTCAATAGAATAATTCACTGTGCGTAAGCAACTAATATATAGAGCTTAACTCAGTTACTTGGTGACTCTTTGCCAAGAATTACGTAAATATTTATAGATTGGTTAATCACCTCGAAATGCAAGGAAATATATAGATGTTTGAAATATGATTATTCAGAAGAGCCAACCAAGTTTAATTTCGATAAGATAGTCGATATCGCGCTTCGGAAAAGATTATCTACAGTGAAATAAATAAAATAAAAGAGCTAAAATAATTAATATATTTATATATATAATTATTTATGCATTTACTTAAAACATTTTAATTAAATAAGAAAAAAATCGTATATTTAAATCAAACTATTCTTCTTTTTTTTGTGTATCCATGGTAAGCAAAACATGAGGTGACCCCGATCTTTTTTAAAAGCTAATAAATATATCCATATTAAAATCAAAAATTTGTCTTATTTGTATATTTACATTATTCATTATTTAAATGAAAATCCTTATACTACAATAAAAGTTGAACTATTTATTTTATTTTATAAGGTGACCCCGATTTCTTTTTTCTTGTTATTTCTCAACCACTTTTAAACCACTGTGCGGCTTCTGTTGGCTTCGCTTTGCCCTGGAGCTTCGTGTCCGGGAGAAGTCGCTTTCATTCAGTCACGGGCACCACTCAACCACAGTCGGATCTCTACAGACGGATCACACCACCACCACCACCTCGACTTTCCCATCCACAACACCGCCACTGCCACCGCCACTATGAACAAGTACGGAATGTTGGCCATCTGCCTGCTGGCCGCTTTGGGCGCCCTGCTCCTGGAAGTTAGGGCCACTCCGGCGGCCACCACCCCCAAGTTGGATCCCAGCCAGCTGGGCGGACTTTCGGCCCAGTTCTTGCCAGCCGAGTATCGCAATACGAACGTCAGCGTGGGTGAGTTTTGAGTTTTTTATGGCAGTGACATAACCACTAACTATATTTACACCCTTTTGGAGTTAGATGCAATAAAATGGTTTAGTTTTTCATTGGCAAAACAAATGCATTCCTGATAACAAGAGCATAAGTATTGCATTTATTTTATGACAGTGATCAATTCATTTTTCGTTATCAGTTTATCATCATAAAATCGTAATTTCTCTTTGACTTTGATGTTTTTATGTCAGTACTGCAGGAATTTTTGCTTTATAAGCAAATTTTTTTTGGTAATCATTATTTGTTTATTTACTTTATTCTACAAAAAGCTGATATATATAAATATTTCTATTTTTACCACTGTTATTATCTGAATCTTTAATTAAAATTGCCTTATTGTGTACTGATACTGAAGAAACTATATCTTTAGAATAAAATATTTAGTTCTTTATGTTTCAAGGTTGCTATTAATGCCAAATTATCGATATTTTCGATACTTTCACAATATCGATTCGATAATTTAGATGTTTTCAAGGGAAAACACATATTAAATACCGAGAAATAGCAAACTGTCGATATTCTTTTAAGCTCTAAGATTAACCCCTACTACCAACCAATACATTTTCACCCACTAACGATTATACGAACCACGCTTCTTCTAGAGGACATCAAGCGGATGTATCGCGAGAAGTGCAAGAAGGTAAACGGAGCGGACAACGCGACCTTCTACGATGAGATCGAGAAGGCGGCGACCAAGATGAGTGCCTGCATCAGCGGAGTGGCCAATCTGACGGCGCTGCAGGAGGAGATGGAGCTGGCGAGGCCGAATGGTGACCTGGACAACGTGTTCCACAAGTACTGCCTGAAGGCCCCCGAGGCGGAGGCGTGCGTGAAGGAGTTCAATGCCAAGGCCCAGCATTGTTTGACCGCCGAGGAGAAGCGTCACCAGGAGACGGTGCAAAGAATTGGAGCCGCGCTCCTGGGATTCGCCTGTTCTCGCGGTGGCGATCAAATTGCCCTCTTCATCGCCGAACAGGGACCCGAATGCCTGGAGGCCAACAAGGAGGCAATTAGCAATTGCTTGAACCAGTCCTTCCATCAGTACATCCCCAAGGACGGCCAGGTTCCCGATCTGATGAGTAGCCCCGAGCTCCTCTTCTCGCCCACCCACTGTGTGGATTTGCAGCGCTTCGAGTCCTGCGTCATCCATCATTTGGAGCAGTGCACCGAGATCACGCCGGCGAATATTGTTCAGTCCGTCTTCCGGTTTGTTAAGAACGAAACGGACTGCCAGGCCTGGATGAATGCCCGTGCCAATGAGAAGCCCATTCTGATGGCCGCCGCCAACAACTCGAGCAATAATACCGCCAGTGGACTCACCTACTCCCTGGCTGCCCCTCTTTTGGGCGCCACTTTGCTCCTGATGCGCCCCTGAACAAACTGTGGGCGAAAGAGCTAGAGCTTGAAAATTATAGATATTTTCGATATTTTAATTCGATAATATCGATTTTTAAGGGAAAACTCTTAATCTCTTTTGAAGTTTTCTTTCCTCTTTTTTTTATTGCGATAACGAACGCCCCACTGTATATTACTTAATTTTTTTTTTGTGTAGAGAGTAGGTATTGTACCGGTACCATATAATTTAATGTCTCCTAAGGAATTGCTCATAATAAACAAGATTACGATGAACGAAAGAACACACCACCCCGAAATGGAATGTCCGAACGAGCATATCAGTGTTGACCAGCCCGGAATGGGAAGGTAATATTTTTATGATACGAAGATAAAGTTGGAAAAACAGGTTGGAAACGAGAAACTTGTATAAGAACCTTAGTCATAATGAGATATATATATTTATGGTATGGTTTCCAATATTTAAAAGGGAAGTAAAATCGGCTGATAAGATTATATGCAAATATTTGCGAAATATTATATTATATGTAAAATTTGAAAGGAAAGTAAAAAAAAATTGATAAGATTATATGCAACACACTTGCGAAAATTCGCAACAGTCAAACAAAAGTGACTCAGAAGACACAATTTCCTGGGACTTTGATCAATGACTGTCTAGCAGATAAGGTCGAAGCTCCTGGCCTTGTCTCTTTTTCTTTTTAATAACTACATCATAAACCTCCAGCCATAGATCGTGGCATACTCGTGGGCTAACTGAGGTTTAATTCAAGCAGTACTAAAATTCCCCTTAAAAAAAAAACAGCACACTAAAACTAACTCTGATACGGGGTGATAAGAACAAAAATAACAAGAAGAAAACAGCAACATAAACGGCGGGCTTATCATGAGTAATGGACTGGGTTTACCTGGCGAAATTGGGCAATTCTACGGCCACTGTATCTGGAATATTTTTCACAGGTTCACGTTCTGCCTACGACCATGAGTATAGTATCTGCAATGCCATCGTTGCCTTAATTGCTTTCGCACTGGATAGCCGAATTCGTACGTCAAATAGTATTGCCAAATATTTTTGATAAGCTTCGATTGGGGCGGGCTATAAAGAACTCAATATATATATATATATATATATATATATATAGAGCGGAAGAGGGACATATATCTCGCTACATTTCTACAGAAATCATAATTGAATTTGTAAAATAATCATGAAATATTAAAGGGTGATTGATTGCAAAGTTCTATAAAGAAAATATCATAATGATTTCCCTATTTAGGGCAATTATGGGTGACATAAAATGTTTTCTCCAAATCAAATAAGAAAAAACAACTAGACATCAATGAAAGGGTGGGTGGGCTATTCCCGGAATGAGGTTCCCATGTGAGCTTCTCGAAGAAGGGTGTAGAAAAACTATCTAACTGGTCGGGGCGAGTGACGCTAATGTGACGATTCCCACTCCAAACTCCATTCCGCCGGCGATAAGTTGCGTGTTTTCCATTCAACAATCAATCATTGCCAATTCCGTGTGCTTATCATAGCAGCGGAACAACTACTTTCTAAACTGTTGCTATATTTAGCGTATAGAATATCTCCTGCAGTTCCAATGAGATCTAGGGGTTACAATAGATTTTTTTTTTAAACATACTGAGTATATTTACCACAAGATACAAATATAATAAATAGAAAAAAAAATGGTATAATTAATTTATAATCGGTTCTTCGATTGTCAAGTGCCCGGTACCTTGGCTTATTTTGATTAAAAATAGTTTAATTAACAAAAGATTAGAAGTAATAGATTTTTAAATCAGTGGTGGCTCTGCGACTGTGTCCGATAGATCTTGAAAATCGATATTTTCGATATTTTGACATTATCGATTCGATCATTTTGATTTTTTGAATGGAAAACACATATGAAGTATCGAGAAATAAGCTCTACCGGCCACCACTGCTTTAAATCATATTATTCCGACTCAATTATACGGGAAACTATCTAAAAATCTAAGAACCAATTAGAAGAAACTACATAACAAACCTTAAAATTAAATTCTAAGAAACGGGCGGCTGCGGCGGAGCTAGTGGAAATTGCGGAAGAGGCTGTTGCTCCAGCTCATCGCCCTCCTGGTCGAGTGACTCCAGCTCGAGCTGCTCCTCGGGATCGCCGATTTGGGCCTGCACCAGCACATCGTCCAGATGGAGCCACACCTGCTCCACTGCTGAACGCAGTTCGGTGGCAAATTTCCACACGCTGCGATCCTCGACGAGATCGGTGAGGTTATACTGCTTATCCGGCTCCCGATAGTGCTGCATCTGGGCCACCGATGTGTCCACAGTGCGGGGATTACAGCCGCCGGGCAGCCATTTCAGCGTAAAGTGATTGTGCAGCGTCAACGAGAGACGAGCGTTGTGAAAGCACTTGGTGGCTCTACCAGGTAAAGAGTAGTTTTTAAACCTTTGAGTGTGTTGCAGTACGAAGAGCTCCCCGGCAATGGCCTGCTCCTCGTGATTACTCATCTCGGAAGCGACCTTTGTAAAGTACGTATTGATGAAGCACAGGGCGGGAAAGCGTCCAGCACATTTGCCACCCTTCTTCACTTCCATTTCGTGAGCCCTCTGCACCAACTGATCCCAATTGCGATTCTCACCCAGCGGCATTATCACCTCATCCACATCCACATTCACCAGATAATCGTGACGATATAGATTCCTGTAGAAGCAATCGTTGTAGGGTATCAGCTCGTTCAATCGCTTCTCCTGCTTTCGCTGCTGAAGCAGCATATGCTGGTAGTGCCTCAAACGGGGTATTCCATTGGCCAGGGTCAGTGGTCTCAGCTCCAGATATCCCGTTCGCTGATAATAATCGAGTACCCTTTGAACCGCCGGATGCACATCGTACATATAGGCGTAGATCCTGGAGGCCCCCAAAATCCTCTGCAGTTCGAACCACTCAATCAGTCGCTCCGATAGATCGACATAGGGAAAGTCGAAGCCCTTGAGGCAAACTCCAAAGTTTAAGGGGGAAGTCTCGGTTAGATTTTGATGACCCTTGGTGATATTTTGAGGGGTCACCACTGCCGCTGCCTGATTAACATTTACTCTCAACGAATTACTCGCCTTATCGCAGATCCTCGACACGAGTGACACCGTTTGGGGCAGCGATTCCACAGCGCCTGGCGGCAATTCTCTGGGTATCGGACAACTTAGCAGGTGGGGATAGTTTAGATACCGCTTGCTGCCCCACGCCTTCACCCAAACGCTCAGGAACTCAGTGACGGCCACGAAAACGGGCTCCCGCATTCCCTCGTACCACAATTGGCAGTGGGTGGGTGGAAATTTATCGCCAATCTGATTGGCAGTCACCAAAATCCTCACCGTGGGCAACTTCAATGCCTTCCTTCTGTCGAAATAGGCGGCATACAGGCGAAAGGTCACATTTGAGTTGACAAACGTCTGCCAGTAGGTGTTGTGCAGCTGAAGATCCAGGGGATCGGGATAGGGGGCGCAGGTTGCATTCTTTTGGTATACCATCGGCTTGGCCCAATGGTACCAGAACCCATAGTCCACCTCTGGCAGTTCTTGTTCCAACTGCCGCACTAGCTCCTCTTTTATGGGCTCTTCCAGGTGATGGACCGGTGGTGGGGTCACCTTTGCCACAAACAAATCTCCTCCTAATCCATTCGTCGTCGGCTTCAGTTCATCCGTTCGCTGCAGGGCACTTAGAAGTAGGAGGATCGCGAAGAGGGACGCCGTCACCAGAATTGTGAGGCGTACGAAGCCACCTCTTGTTGACATTATGCTCGAATGCTTACTGAGCTCTGGGAATGGGAATGGGAATGGATTCCCGCCACCTGGGAACGCAATCTAATCAAAACGAGAGTGATGATAACCACCGTCCTCATGCTGAATTATCTATGAACTGCGAGTAGAGCAGAGCAGAGCAGCCGGGCTTTATCAATTAACCGAATTTAGTTGGCCCAATCCGATCGCATAATGCGTATACAACTGAATTTGTTTTCGTTTCTTCGATTTCGATTTGGAGCATTGTAAAATGCCGTGTTTATCGGGATATGGTGACGCTTTTGGGTAAAGCAACCACGATAAAAATTACATTAAAAAGTTTTGGAAACACAATTGAAGATATAAGTTATGTGTATTTAGGGGCGTGGGTGTGTAAATATACGAATATTATTCATAGCCGTTAGAAAAAGAATCAACAATTTTATATCTTTTTTATTATAGTTTAAAAAGCGTATATGCTATTTCGTGTTGGTTATTTATATCTATCGATATGTTGTAAAATTGTTCAAATCGGATTATTTATAAAGAAGTTATGGGAAAGTAATAAATGGGTTGTGCAAGCAGTGCTTAGTTGTAATAACCCATTTGATTTTTTAAAACTGTGGTTTTAAACTATTTGTAAGTAAAACGTTTTAATGACTTAATCGACTAAATCCTTATATATTTATTTGTAAAATTATCCCTATAATAGTTAAGCCCAACTTGAAACATAAAGAGCTGTTAAAGTATAATCAAGGATACTCTATACATGTACTTTACTCTTTTTACTATCTCACCTAATCCTCATTCCAGGTACCAGGAACCCGAACCAATGACATTTCATATTTGGGAGGGCACTAGCACTAGCTCATGTCTAGGGATTCTGCTAATGAAACGCTCAAATATGCATGAGGTGAGTGGGTTGCAGAGGAGAAAGAGAGAAAAGGAGAAAAACTTGTGAAAGCTTAATTTCTGTGTAAATTGTTTTCGCCAAACTATGCAACAATAATTCCGGCTTCTTTTTTTACCTCCCCCGAGCATCGTAAATGCTTTTGTTTGCTATTATTTTTGTATTCCCTACTATTATTTGAACTTTTTGCGTTTCCTTGCGCTGCTGCTGCTGCTGATGCTGCTGTTATTTTTACAAGTAATTTAAAAATAATTTTATGAGGGGATGATGATGTTGCCGCAGGGCTTTTGGCCGGGTGCGAAGTTTGCTTTATTGACATTGTCACCCCGGTTGAGCTCAGCGCTCGTGACAATGAACCATCCTCCACAGCACCTGGAAACGAGGATGACTATGGACTATGGACTACGAACGACAGGATAATAAAATTGTGAAACAACTTTTTAATGAGAAACACTTTTTGCACATTGCAGTGGCCAGAGGGATTCCCGGTTGGTAGTTGGTAAATTGTTGCCCCCAAAGAACGATGATGATGATAATAATATGATGGCCACCATAATGATGATGAAGATGGAAGGCTTGCTGATGGCAGGATAATTCACCTGTTGCCATGTAGCCGCCCCTGCATTTCGCGATCGATTCTCTCTCAACTTTTTCACCACTCTATCGGGTTGGTCGTCTACAATTAACAATGAACATTTTACGCCGCACTACTACGGCAAAAACTGCAAACTTTCCGCCGTAATTGCCCAGAAAAGTAACACAAATGAAACGCATTGACGCTTAATTACTTTTGCTAAATGGCACGAGCCCGGCAGCCATCCTACAGAGCTCCTCCTTCTCCTCCCGCAAAAGTCCTTTACGAATGGGCGAGGTAAACAGAAGGATGGTCTGAAGGTGGAGCTCCATTTGGCATGCGGGTGTGTTTGGCTTTGGTTTCCCCTGCTTTCCTCGGCAATGCTTTGAATTTTACCAGAGTTCTGGCAATTTACGAGGTGGCTCTCACTTGCTGACTGACATCGTCGGGAATTGTTCTTGCCGAGGATGATGTTCCGACTTTTAATCAATTAACCATTATTTCATTTTAAATATATTCGTAAGATTTTATCCATTAAAATGAGAGATCCCTTTAAGAAATCGCTATTATCGAAAGGATTTTGTGTAAAATACCGAAGATATCGAAAGGATATATTTTACATTATCGAAGATATCGAAGGGATATTGCGCAAATATGGAAGATATCGAAAGGATATTGTGAAAATATTGAAGATATCGAAAAAAATCGAATATTTTAAAAGGATATTGAGAAAATATCGAATATATCGAAAGGATTTTGTGAAAATATCAAAGATATGGATAACCAATTGTACATCTCCATTCCACAGGGTATCTCTATATTCTGTAGCCAAAAAGTATTACGCTGATTGCAATCGTGTAGCCGTGTGCAGCCGTAGTGAACATGTGAGGCCTGCCTTTAGGGTGCTGCGAGTCGGCACGATTTGACTTTTGTCGACGTCACAATTTGGAGAAGTTTACCCACTTCTGGCGCCGCACGAAAACTTGGCCCAAAAAGTTGCCCTGCCACTTGGCAAATGCAAGTTTTTGATTAAAAGCCACCACCGCCTCCTCCTCATCGTGCTCCCAGTTTACCAGTTCCAGCAGCTAGCCAGGAAAGTTTTATGCCAGGACTGAGAGAGAGAGCCGGAGAAATTGTTAATTGAATGCATTTGGGGTCCTTGCAATGTTTGCCTGTGCGTGATATGGGGCACTTTGCCAAGAGGCAGCAGCAGCAGCAGCAAATGAAGGAGCCAGCTGTTTGGAAAGGAGGAACGGAGCAGCTGCTTCAATGAGTGAAATGCTTAAAAGCTGCACAAATGCTTTACCAACACTTGGCATCGACACCATGGCCTGTTCAACACTGACTGAGAAAGAGAGTCCAGTTGGTCAAAGGTGAAGCGATGTTCACTTAGAGTAGATGGAGTGTATAATTCATTAGTTCGTTATGCCATCAGTGTTGGTTAATTAGAATTATTTAAGAATTTTAAGCCAAACAGTGTTGGTCAACGCTATATTTTTTAATAATCCTTTTTCCGCATTTTTCTAAACCCTTTCCTTTTTGCAAGGATTAATAATTACGACTTTTTAATTGATTTATGTATAGTTTCAATTGCAAAGTGTTGAACAACGCAGTGCAGCAATAACAAAAGTGTTGTAAAGGGCGCTCTAAAGCGCCCCTGATTGCAAAATTTATGAGGCAACCGAACATCATCCCCATCCCCCTCAATCTCCGACGTATTCAGGTGGATAAGTGGTTGGGTGGGTGAATGGTGGCATTAAAAATTCATTGGCCAGCTCGTTTATTGTAGTTCCTTGGCAGGGCTTTGGTTTACTTTCGTTTAGGCGAGCTCGCCTGGGAGAGGGCCTGTTGCAGCTGCAAGGATTCCACTCCATTTCAGGAGACACACACTTTTCATTAGCTCAAAGGAAGGGAGCAGCTCACAGCTCACAGCTCAGGTGGGTTGCAAGGGAAAGCCCTTAAAGTTAAGCGCATAAGAGCGGAGCAAAAGTTGCCTTAAAGACTCGGCTGCCAGTCAATAATGATAGAGGAGAATGGAGGGATGGGAAATGCCTGTGTGCGTTTGGAAATGGAAAAATGGATGCGGATGCGAATCGGTGCTGTGGCCACGCCCACTCAGTGTCTGGCCCCGAAAAGCCCGAAAAGAAAAGCACAAGCAGGAGCAAAAGCAGCTCCAGATTTTCTATAAAAGCCGAGGCTAACGAGATTTGATGAATTGCAAGTCTTTGTGAATGAAGCTACAAGAAAGCTGCAGCATGAATAGCCCCTAGGCACCGCCTCCCAATCCTCCGCCTCCTTGCGCTTTTCCATCTAAGCCAGGTCCGCATAAAAAAAACCCATTAAGTGGTTTAAAGCAGTGAAAAAGCGCACACAACAAGCAGCAGCAGCAGCAGGAGCAACACAGCAAAAGAAAAATGCAGTTGACATGAAAGCCAGCCAAAAAGGGGGATGAATAGTGGATGGTTGGACAGGCAAGAGAGCTGGAAAAGGAGCCGAAGGAGAAGGAGCAACAATGCTCACCCAGAAGATGAGATAAGGAACAAAGCAGCTTGACGAATTACTTGGCAGCTGTTCGTAGTGAAAACCCCGGGAAAATCGGGGCGAGAGGCGAAAGGCGGTGGCAAAAGGCGAGGCGCAAGAAATTTAATTTGACCAACATTTTGATGTATCAAGTTCAGTCGGAGCCGAAGATTTATGACTTGCTGACAGAGCAGCAAAAGCGGAGCAGGAGCACCAGAATTGGTATGTCATGTCGGCAGCAGAGAGCGGAGAGAGGAGGAGCAAGTGCATCCAGGGATTATGGGATCATTTGCAGCTCAGAGTTTTGTTTCCAAGCAAAAACAAAGACGATTTGCTTGCAACTTTGGCAGGTCTCTAAAAATAAAAGCTTTAATAGCTTTGGCAGCTTTAATTAAATAATATTATATCATGCTTTTAATATAAGGCTTTAAAACTTTAAATATTTATTAAAAGTATTGATATTTTCACATTATCAAGTCGATAATATCGATATTTTCATCGAAAATAATTATTATAATTATGCTTATGAAAAACATCGATATTTATCGAAAATAGAAATCGAAAATATCGAAATAACAATATTTTTATATTTAGATGATCATGCCTTATATTTAATCTCTTATTTCAGCTCACAAATATTAGAGATCTCGAAAAGCTTTACTGATCAAGTTAAAACTCCAAAAGCTTAAAGTCGCAAAGCTCCAGAGGCAAAGAAAAATGAAAGTAAGCTGACGACTATTGAGTGCATTTCCCATTTCCACTTGCCTCACGTAATGAGCCCACTGGAAATGAGGAAAACAAGGCCTTGACATCGAAGCCAGTTTGACTTGTGGCGATAATTGCCACCTGTGATTGTGATTCCAACTGTGACGCGGACAGTGACTGTGACTACACAAGAAGAAAAACTAATGATGAAACATCTACTATAGTTTTATCACCTATAAAGGTTTATAAAACAGGAACGTAGATAAGTTTTTTATTTCAATAAAAAAAGGAATATTTAATAAATGTTTTGTTGATCGAAAAATTTCGATAAAAAATAATGATTATTTTTGAGTAACATTTTTTCGATTTAAAATATAGCTCAAAGTAGGATTACTTAAGACATTTTAATATAATTTTGTTTTAAAACCCTGAATTTCCTGAATACCCGTATATCTTTCTTAAAGGTTATGGTCTATTAAAAGTAAATAATATCACATATTTACTTTACAAACTTCAAAAGTCAGTTGACAACTTCAGTTTAGTGTCAGAGTTCAAAAGGTTTTTTCGGCCCCTACCGACTTCCCGTAAAACTGTAGAATTGTCGACTGGCGAGCACGAGGCTGAGATTAGAATCCCCTTGAGATGGCTCGACTGACGGCTTTGAGCATGGCGGTGTTGCTCCACTCCGTGCTGGGCGTTTCGTACTACTACTACTTCCGCGAATCGCCCGGCTCCGCTGCTCCTCTCCTGGGCGCCTGGCTCTTCTCGGCCTGCGTGGTTGCCCTGCTGCAGGCGATAAGGATATTTCCCAGTGCCCTTCCCGCCGCCGATCACGGGCGGTTCAGACATTATCGAGGCAATAACAATCAGGCGGCATCCTCCTGGGCAGCGCTCCTCCTGGAAACGGGCATTTGCTGCCTGGTTCTCGATGTCACCCTGACCAAGTTGTGGCATCGCATCGAGTCCCTTTGCCAGTGCGCCATTGTGGGCGTCCTTCAAGCTTTGGCGGTGGAGGAGCAAACCTTCCTGGCCTGCGAGTACTGGTCCTTGGCCCTGACCACCGGCCTGATCGGCGCCTGTCTCCTGTGGCTCACCCTCTGGGCCACCGCGCTGCCCCGGAAGCTCCATTGCGGCCTGCTCGACTGCCGGCGCTCCCTGCATCGCCACTGCTCCTCGCTGATCTTCGGGCCGCTCGAGCCGGGAACTCCTATTCCGACACAGGTGCAGGAAAGCGCCCAGAGCTTCGCCAACTGACCATCCATCCACCGCCAAAAACCAAATTATCAGTTCAACTTAAGAGTCAATACCTAAATTTATGGGTTAAGTAATGCTAAAAGTGTTTTAATGGGCACAGTGGGGCGAAAAGGTTCAAAAAACCATGAAATATAATTTACTACAAAAAAGTAAGCTGCTTTCGATTTTTTGTTTTTAAAAATAACTTTTTCAATAACTTGGCTTTCCATTTACCTCTTAAAATGTGTGGCTTTGTTCTCTAAAAGCCTACACTTCTATCATTTTATTATCACTTGAAGAAAAAGGTGACCCAAAAATACATTTATGGGTCCCATAACTAGAACTTTTAGATTCGCATAAGAAATTGTGATCTAGTTCTCTTCAAATCTGCATTTCTTTACGTAAGTTGGTAATTTATTGGGTCTTCATCTTCCAAATGGTGACCCAAAATTATATTTTTAGGTCCATAATTTGGCCGATTAGATTCCAATTTAAACCTCCTAAAGTTGTTTAATGCATATCCACTAATTTGCTTTAAGGGCTTTGTTAAACTCTTTGAAAATTATAATAAAATAATCAAAAGGTGACCCAAAAATATAGTTTTTTTTTTTTTTAATTGGGCAAATTGATTTTTATAAATTTTTGTTTAAAAATTGTAATAAAATAATCAAAGCCACTGTCTGTCCACTTGATCGATCCAATAAAACCAACTGGAAACTGAAAACTGACAACTTGCGACTGGTGACTGGTGACTGGAAAAACGGTGATGTCCCCTCGGAAAAGATGTGGAAACTCGTTTAACCATATCCATGGCCAAATGGCAATGCGGAAGAGGACGGGACGCTGCCTCCGATCCGAAATCCAAAAGCGACACGCCCCCAAACAACCGATACCGTTTTGGATTCGGATTCGGAAGACGGAACCCAGCGGATCGAAATAAAGCAAGGTAAGTCGATCGAAAACGAAACCAAAGCTGCGATGATGTGCGATCGATGGCTGTAAACTTGAACTTGAAGCGTGGCCAAAAGCGATGGGCATGGCAACTAGCAGGCAGCAGCTTGCAACTAGCCAGCAGCAACATGCAACATGCAAGACACCGACACACGCAACAATGCCGCTGAAATGCTTCCAGAGAAGTGCCAGCCAAATGTTGTTTGCTATTTGTTGTTTGTTGATGCTGGCGTGTTTTACACTGCAGCCAGTTGCCAATGGCCACCAATTGCGGAAAATTGGCCGTCGAGCGATATAAAAGCCAAGCCTGGCAGTGCAGCCGTGTTAATCAAAGCGCGTCGCTCGCTGGGAAAAGTGCAAGTGTTTTCCACGCTCCCAAAAAATCGAACTAAAATCGCAGGCGAAAATCAGGCGAGGTGAAATACGCAATTCTTTTTTTCTTCTGTGTTTATAAAAAATAAACAGAAAAACTCTGAATTTGATAAGTGAAAAATATAAAGCCAATACTTCTTTAAATCGATAAAATCGATAATAAATCGATTATAAATAAGTAAATAAAAATAAATTAATTGGGTAAACAATTACGTTGATAAATAAATAAAATCCAGAAATTTATAACAAGTGTATATGTTAAAAAAATGTTTATGTTATTAAAACATTAAAAGTTTCAAAAAGAACCTCTACTTAATCATAAGTTGAGCAAATATTTTTTAAGTTTGTTAATTTTTTAATTATAAATTTTTTTTGTTATTTTAACATAGGCGTTACGTATCATATTATTATATATTTGAATATTTACATTTCTGATGCAAATATGCTCTTGACCAGTACATTTAAATTTCAAAAAAGGAATCTATATTTAATTATAATTTTAGAAAAATCTTTTTTTAACCTGTTAATTTTCGTATTATTTTATAGATGCTGTGCCACATCCACTGCCACCTGTTTCTGCTGCAGCTCCTTGTCATGGGTATGCCCTTCCTGCAGGGATCCCCCGTTTCAAGTCCGGAAATATCCAACAAGGGTTCCAAGTCCTCAAATAGCGTGCAGCAGGTGCAACAGCAACAGCAGCAGCAGCAGGAGGCCCACCTTAATTCGCTGAGTGCCTATGCTAGTGGCTACGACATGACCCAGCAAAATCAACTACAAAATCAGCTACAGAACCAAGTGCTTTCCTCTACGGATCCTGCGTTCAAGCCCTCGTACAAGATGCCCGAAATGGAGACCAATTTCACGCCAATGCAAACGGCCGGAACTCCGAGTGTGGCCAGTTTGCCCTCGACTCCAATGCTCATGCAATACCTGCCGGCCCAGACGATCCAGGATGGTTCGGGGAATACCGTCCAGTACCTTCAGTTGATCCCCACCCGACCGATTATAGTGCCCATCTCGCCATATCTTTCGGCTGCAGCAGCGGCGGCTGGATCTACGGCCATTTCCGCCGGCGGACAACCGGACTTTGGTGGACGGACAGCTGCTGTTTTGAGTGCTCTGCCGCCGAATTACGGAGCACCCCTCCAGGGATATGCCACTAGTGTGGGGGGTTCGCCCATCAATCCAACTGCCGCCTTTCGCAATAGCTATCGTATCAACCGTGAGGCCAAGGACAAGCACTTCCCGCCCTCATTTTCACTGAATCTCAACGAATATCTGCCGGCCTCCTCGATGGGATTGAGCCACGACACCTCCGCCAATGGGCCCCATTTGTACCTGAGGGCCAGACCTTAGGATAGATTATAAGCTACCGCCAAAGTCTTTTAGCCTTTAGAACTGTTATTTTTTTGTTTGTTCTTAACCGTACCAAAAGTCCCGAATAAAACGTAATACAGAGAGTAATCAAATAAAACAAACGCGAATTCTTCAGAGGGTGGAGAAAAAGACTAAAGAACAAGGGTTTATGTGTTGGATAGGCACATTTGTGAGGTTCATGTCTTGGATATGGACATTTTCCAATTAAAACCATTTTCTTTTACTTTATACAACCCAAAAAGCGTTTAACATAGCGTTTTTCATACTTAAATGACTCTTTTTCTAGACTTCACAATCTTGCAATTAATAAATCATCTAATATTACAACTATTCACTATGGCTATACAAATTATTTTTCTCAGAATCCAACAGCCAAGTCTATTATAATGCAAACCCTAAACATCCTATGGCTTATATATGGCAAAACCCTAAACCCATTTTGCTTTCCATTTAATTTACATAACTCCACTTTAGCTGAGTCACGGGTGTCGTTCGTTCTTCAGCGGGCTTCCACCTTTCGTTTTCACACACAGCCGAACAGCCAAAGCAACCGTAGATGACCCAACCTAACGAGTCCCAAATAAACCCAAATGGAATCTAGACTGTTTATTTTTGCACAGCACAACAAAAATGGGGGACAGCAACAGTGAGCAAACAAAAACACACCTCAGATGGAGGAGTGCTGTCTTCTGTTTTCCACCTTTGGCGAGCTGGAAGCCCAGAAAAACGAAGGTCGTCTTGGACAGAATGCAGGGCCATTGTTTTTGTTTCTCTTTCATTTTGCGTGAAAGTGACCAGACCAAAGAGCCCATTTCACGCCCGACCGGAACACAGACGGTTTGTATTTGTCTACACATTGTACCCATATTTATGCCACAAAAACCTTGAAGTTGCGTCAGATCTTGCTAGCTAGCTAGCCAGCCAACCAGCCATTTCATCTGTCTACTCTTAATTGTCACAATTTGACAAATTCATTTGGCATTAACTGGCTCAAATCGGAATAGAGCTTTCATTGCCTCAATTCCGAGTCATCGTTTCGTTGGTGGGGGTAAGTAAAGGGGCTGAGCCCAAAGCATCTTTCACTTGCCGCATTAAGTGGAGCAAATGCCCAGCGGCCTTTGATCTTTTCGCGGCCTAGCATTGGCTATTGTATATTCTTTCTTTTCATTTTGTAAAATATATATTTAAAATTATTTGAATCATGTGACAAGATACCAGCCGATAGCTCAAAAATCTGTTATACTTCATCGAACATGTTATACTTCATGAAACTGAAGAATTCGATTATAATTATAGATTTTTAAAACAATTATACGGAAAGAATTTTGTAAAACATTTAGTTCAATTTCAAATGTTAAATTTTGTAAAAAATGCGAATAGTACTACATAAATCTAAAGAGTTAACAAAAATATTGTAGCTCTATGCTCTAGCGATAAAAATATAATTTCCAATGCAATTCATCAAACCCATTTCAGTTAGGGTATTGAACGCAATTCGAGGGGCATTCCATGCCGCACTGAGTGCCACAATTCACTTTCAATCACCGACCATTCCACATGTCGTCGATGCACTGACGATGACGATGATATATCCACGATGATGATGTGGATGTGGATCTGGAGAGGACGCCCCGTGGCGGTGAATCCCTTGTAATGGGATTTAGATGATGGGGCCTTTGGATTCGGAATCGGATGGCCACTTGCCGCAGAGTTTTGGGCTGCGGAAATGAGCGGTTATCGATGCTCGGACTTTGAGTTTGAAGTTTAAATTCGTAGCTCTAACGCTCGAACTCGATTAATGGTCGTGTTTTCCTGCAGATACACATAGTTTCATAGTTTCGAAGGGGTGTGCGCTTCACTTGTCCGACCGACGTTGTTATAACACTTTAAAGCGCGTAAATTAGCCTTTGTTGTTGTTTCTGTTTCTGGGCGGTGCTCGCTTTGTTGTTGCTGATTGAGTTTGAAATGATTTCAATTTGAGTCGCTGGGTTGCCGAGCTGGCTGGCTATTTACTTTCCTTTTCAATTAATTGCCGCAGCTCTAAACGGATCCAATCCGCCTTTGTGTTCCATCCTTCGCTCATCTGCATCTCTAGGTGGCCAATGGCCAATGAATGCCGTCCATTTGGTTCCGATATTTGAGATTCGAGACCGGAGACCAAAGACCTGAGAGAATTAGGCGGCACAAACTATAAAACGTTGTGTCAGAGCTTCGCGCCATTGCAGTCGCCTCAGCGCTCGTCACTCGCTCGGTTCGGTTTTAGTCTTTGGTCTTTTGGTAGTTTGCTCTTTCGTGTTAGTCCCCATTTTTCGGCTGTTTCAGTTTCAGTTTATTTCTATTTTTTTTGGTGTAACCAAGTGTAATCCGTGCGAACTGGTGAATGTTGTCTGTGCTGGTTGTTCCCTCGAAGGAGTGATCATCGTCATTTAGTCGGATCAAGGCGGTCAAGCAGCCTCATCATCATCATCATCTCATCTTTGGCGCAAGTTATTATCATCATCATCAGCGGAGGCGACCATAAACGGGATACTGTAATATCATGGTGCGTATGTGTAACCGACCAGAAAGGAATTGACATCTCAAATGGATAGGATAAATCACGAGCAGAAAGATGATATGATAAAATAGTGGTCACTAAGTAACTTAAAAAATAAAATATTAATACAGAACATGTCATATAAATATATATAAATAGTAACTTAAAAAATAAAAGATTAATACAGAACATGTCATATAAAATATTACAGAGGGAAAGACATTTAAAATATAAAAATATTTACAGATTTTTAATAAATTGAAATGCAGGGAAATCTATAAATATTACATAAGAGATAGATTTTTGTATTAAATAGGATTATAATAAATTAAAATATTATTATTGACCAGATGATAAAATATTTTGAAATCCCACTGAAAAAGAGATTAACAGCGACTTGAAAATGCAAAAAATAAATGCCAACTATCGATTATTACCTAATCTCATATTTAGACAGCAAAAAGAAAATAAGAGAGAATGTGTGATTGAGTTGTTCGAAAACAAAATATCTCTAATGAGCCCAGCTGAGACAATTTCATGGTCCGCGAATTGATTAATGATATGATATGTCACCAGGGGTATTATTTTGGCCAGACAAAAGGGGGAAAGTTGGGTGAGGTATGTGGATAGTCGGATTTAAAGAGAGAGATAAAGTAATAGAGAAATATGGGCGAGTCAACAGTTAAGTTCCGTTTCATTGGTGGTAGTCATTGAACTTTTCTGTTTGCAATGGTTTAGTTAAAATGTTAGAAAATGTGCGGCCTCGACTATCAGGATATCGGTAGTGCGAGGGAGATGAAGTTTTGCAAGCAGTAAGTCGACTGCATTTTTGGAATAAATAAGTTTAAAGCTTTTTTTATATTATGGCTAAGATGGTCTTCTAATTCTTGCCTCTTTTTATATGCAATGGTCAAGAAAATGTGTGACATTGCCCTAGAACCTCGTTAGACTTGAACTACAATTAGTCGATCTAATCGAAGTTTATCCACTGGCCATGTAAGCAAAGTTCGTGTCTTGAGTCTTTTGTTTGCATTCGATTTTGTTGGTTTTTTACACTCATGTTTACACCATGTGTGGTCGGTGGTTTTTTGTGCCACAAGAGGGGCGCAAATTACGCGTGTTAACGATGCGAACTCCATTAGCTTCTTCTTAAAGCCATCAATCAAGCTGCATTTGCATCTCACGTCTTATGTCATCAGGTGACCTGGTTGGGATCATTATTAGCCGACGACCCGGGGCCGCCAAAAATGGCCGAAAATAATTTCGAAGAGCGCTCAAACTAGGGCACGCATGTGACTTAGAGAGACTTAGTGACTGCAACTAGTTTTGCTAAAGATTTTCTGCAGCATTTTTGGCGGCAAATGGTATTTGCTATTTCAACATCAACTGGAATGCTTCTTCATCGCGTGACAAATGGTCGTAAGTTGCTGCTTGGTCAGAGTTTCGAATCGAATCGTAGATTTTAGTTTTAGAAAGGCTTATCAGTGGTGGGATGGTAGTGGCCTTAGCCAGCAGGTGCAAAATCGAAACGAGGGTGGAACAAATGGATGGGCATGTCCCACCCACTTGGGGCTTGGCCATCGCTAACCACAATCTATTGATCTTTCCACTCGAATGCGAAGCTGGGGAAGTCCCCTTGCCGCCCTTTTGCAATTTTGAGCCAAATTAAAAGTGGTCAAACTCAATTAAACGCATCAATGGGCGTGGCAGTGGTTCACTGCTCGGCGAAAGGCGCCAAAACTAAGCCTTTCACCAAAGCCAAAAACCAAAAGTTACAAGAAAAGACACAATTAATTCAAAGACTTGCCAAGTTGCGAATACGACGAATACACTTGCTGCTGAAATCGCTTCAAGGTCAGCTTTAAAGTTGCACAAATTGGAATTAAATTGATGGGATTGCGTGTAATTACAACTACAAATACAAAAGCATTATCTTTTTTTTTTACAATGCGCTTAGCAAATAGCCAATCCTTGCATTAATATATTAAATTAATTTAAATGGAAAACGATTGCTTGTTTTGCTTTGTGTTATAAATAGGGTAATAATATTTTATACACCAATTTATGTTGTTAATCTTCTCCAATTTGCATTAAAAACTTTGTTACTGTTAATGTAATCGTTTTTAAATGGTATCCCCTTTACTTTACTTTTTAAAAACTAATGTCAATCATAACTGTGAAATATTTATGACATATAATAATAATCTCGACTATCAGGATACCCGTTATTAAGCAAAAAGGGAGTGCGAGGGACATGAAGTTTTGCAAGCAGTAAATCGACTGCTTGCACTGCTTTCTTGCATTCGATTATTTGCTCATAACTTTTTAACAAATGGTCCGATTTTAAAATTTTCTTTTACATTTCGATGGGTATTAATAAATACAGTCAAATTGGTTTTGCACTTTAACAAAATCTGTAAGGATGTGGACGCCAGCTTTTTTTTAAGGTCCGGTGGGGAATGAATATGTTTTAAGCCTTTTCTATCTTTTGGATAAGATGGTCTTCTAATTCTTGCATTTTGCCCAACAGATGTTGCTTCACCTGCTCCTCCTGTCTGTCGTCGTCGTCGCGATAATTGGCGTCGTCGATGGCGTTCTATCACCACCTCCCGGCTACGATGATGACACTTCGCCGGTGCCTCTTCGCTTGGAGGACTTGGAGCGCGAGCAGGAGCAGCACCAGCATCTGGATCTCAATCGAGCGCCGTTCCTGCCCAATCGCTATGAATGGCGACCGGATGTGGCCGCCAGTTTGCCGCCCAGTTACATTCAGGATGCCGCCCAGCGGGAGCGGGATCTCGAGCGACTGCAGCGTTTGGAGGAGCTGCGTCAGCTGCAGCGGCAGCACCAGCAGCTCAGTTCGGGCTACGCCTTTCCCTTCCCCGCCCACCTTCCAGGTGGTGTGCTCTATGTGTGAGTATTGAGCTTCAAAAGCCACCAAAAGCTAAAGCTTATATTCTATGGGGTTTGAAACCAGCTCTTTGGAAAAGCTGCAAGCTTTAGCTGCGGTCCAAAATAAGCTTGATTCGTTAAAAGCTAAAAGTCGAGCTAGAAACGCCAAGACTCAAAGCCCAAAACTTTTAAGTCTTCGAAAGAAATAGCTTAAAGCACAAACAGGTTAACTTTGAATTTGAAACATTAAAGATTTAAATTTAGGCACAACATTGTGAATTTTTTTTTGAGAATTTTATCTGTTTGTCTTGAGTATTTATACTTCTCACATTTTCAAGGCGAAATGTTCTCTAAAACGAGAAGAGTGTTATCTTTGAAATTGATCTATTAACAATTTTTATTTAGGCACTAACTAAAAATATTTTTGTCTGGTGAGAGCAAGAATTCTCACATTATTTTTAATGTCTGCACACAAAAAAATTTGCTTGGTAAAATTGACCAACAAAGATAGTTACGTAACTATTAAAATAGTTACGTGTATTTTGTTTTTGCTTTGGGTTTGTGTCTTTGCTAATTGTGTGTATTTTGTTGTTGTGAAATGACAATTTACTTAGTAGAATTGACAATTTTGCTGGTTGGGGCCTGTTTGACAATTATTACAGTTGATTTTACCAAGTTTTTTTTTTGTGTGTGTGTATGTAGACTTTTGCATTGAAATATACATAAATACATGGAATGTATATTTTCAAGGTGAAACATTCCTAAAAACAAGAAAAAATCTACTCTCTACTCAAATTCTTTTAAATTAAAAGATTTACCTTAAAAATACATCAATTGCAATAGCATGTGAGGTATATTTTCAACTTTAGATTGCCGGAATATTAAGGGAATAGAGCACAACTAAAAATTCAGTTTAAACTTATAAATACACAGTGAATTTCACTTTTAACCAGAAGGAGCTAAACAGTGATTCAATAAACACCAACTTGGACTGCTAATCAATAGCAAAGTTCACTTAACCCTCAGCGGCAAATTAGGATGGTGGTTAACCCTTTAATGGCCAACTGATTGAGGCCTAGTTGGGCCGTTGATTGACGTGCAAAATTGCCGCTTGGGGGGCAATTGGAAATTGGAAATAGAAATGCTAATCGTATGGGCTTTGATGGAAAGTAGCTGTGATTTGCGGCCAAAAACGATCGTTTGCAGCCAATTTGGGCTGGTTAAATTAGTTAGTTAGTGGCTGAAAGTGTTGAAATGGCAGCGCATTTCACTTACGATCGCATCAGCTTCCGACAAATGGAGCAAATGATTGTGGTTAATGTAATTTAATCCGTTAATCAGCTTCTTTTTATTTTTTGTCCATTTCAGTGGACCCACGGCAGCCACGCCCACTCCCACGCCCTCGGCAGCGCCGACGACGACGACAGTGGCCTCCTCTTCCAATCTTCGATTCGGAAAGCCCATAGTTCCCTACGATTTGGATTTGAATTTGGGCCTAAATGGTATTCAATATGTGGCCAGTAATGCTCTGCCGCCCCTGCCAGGGCCACGCCCCCTGGGACGACCGCCCTTTATCTATGGTTTTACCAACCAGGCGGGAAACAATAGACAACCCCTGGTGGTCCAGCAATCCAAGCAGTTCGCCTACGCCCCACCATCGCCACCACAGCGACATTATGCGAATGGACCGAGGATTCCATTGCCATATCCTCCGAGTTTTGTGAGCATTACAACCCGAAGACCCAAAGGATTCCGACCATCCCAACCAGATCCCACGCCCGATTTGTTCGCCGGACGCTCATCGAAATCGCTGCTGGACTCGTACATTCCCAGCTGGGAGGTTCTGCGCCTCATCAGGGAGCACAATTCACAGCAGCAGGGAGGATTCTCACCCATCATCCACCACCAACAACGTCAAACGCTCGCCTATCCAGCACCTGCGCACTTGCGACTCTATAAGCGAGATTCCCAGGAGAACCGTACGAGAATCGTTAAGAAAGCGCTGGCACAGCCCGGCAAACTCAAGGAAAACTAAGAGCATTTTAGTCTTATTTTAGTTTTTTGTTGTCTTTTATATATATAATATACAAATACGAATATTTATTGCAGCGAAAAAGGCATGCGTTTTATTTATGAAAGAGGAAGCAAATGGAAAAAAAAGTTAAGTCAAAAATTTGGAAGCCTGTCATGACACTTACTTAACATTTTTGAGAAGCGCATAGAAAGGCACTTTATTTCTTGTTTAATCGAGAAATTAAATACTTGCTGTGTAATTCATCAGCACTGGTACAACGTTTTAGACTTTTAAATGGTATTTCTTTCTGTTAAACACTAAGCCTTAAATTAAAACAAATTGGAAAGTGTTAAAGTTTATGATGGCCCGAGGAAGGATGTTTGTTTGTGGGTTCAAGGAGTAATAAAAAAAAGACGATGAGGTGAACCTCGTGACTTGTGACTCCCAAAAGGAGCTAGTTTCCTTTCCTCGGGCCCCCAAAAGCTGATCGGTGGTGATCACATAACAGAAAATGCAGCATGGAGCATCTTCCAGCTCTCCATTTAAAGCCAGGCCAGGCCATCGCGGGCCAAAAGCGAAGCCAATCGAATCAAATGTGCAATATGTGACTTTGTCAATGAGCCAGTTGAGCCCCAAAAGCCACTGATGCCACCGATTGAACAGATTCCTTCGACTCGGATTCGAATTCGATTTTGCAGACTCTCCCCTCGATGCTTTTTGCTCACGTAATCGCGGCCATAAACCAAACAGCCAGCAATAACAAACAATTACGGTGCGATGCCACTCGGAGTGGCCACAAAATTATGATTTGTGTGGCAGTGTGCCGAGATACGGAGATGCGAGATTCGAAATCCAGCAGACAGAAGACCAAGAGACCGACAGACGGACAACAGGTGGAGATTTATGCAAGTAGGAAGCGAAGATGCTGCAGTTGCGAGTTGCAAGTTTCGAGTTGTGGCAGTTGTTTGTGTTGCCTTTGCGTTGCCGTTTCGTTTCGGCCATCTCATGGCTGTTAATGAAGCTGCCACTGCCACAAAATTGCTGCATTGTTTGTCACCCATTAAATATGCAGACGTGAAGGCAAATGAGGATGAAAATGATGTTGATGATGACGAGCAGCCAGCCCTGCCCTGTTTTTAAGGGTGTGATGGCAAACGTATTTCCTGACTGCCGTTGATTCCGGTGATGACGTATGGCACACTGAGCAAAAATTCAGTTGAAAAAAATACATTTAAAAAAATTAAATAAATAAAAAAAAACAAGAGAGAACGCACTTCGACTATCAGATGCCCATTCCCAAGATAAAGCAGTAAATCGACTGCTTGCACTGCTTGCTTGCACTCCATTTATTTGCTCAAAACTTTTTAATTAATGGTCCGACTAAAAATTTTCTTCTACATTTTGATAGGTAATAATAAACCCAAAAAAAAAAATTAAATTTACAATTTTTTTTTTCTTTGGGAAAAAAAATTATTTTAATAAAAGATATCAAAGACGAAATAAAAATTTCCTTTTATCCTATATCTATACTTCCATCACTACTAGTTTTCGCTCAGTGCAAAGCCAGTGACCTTCTAGAGGGGTCAAATCTCGCTCCAGTTTGTTTCACCGAAAAATAAATCGTAGGCTCGATCGTAAATCTGCATTCGAAAGGGTCATTCAGAAAGGTTCACCCTTTGAAAAATGCCCACGGTCAGCCTTCTTGATCTTGGCTCTTTATGTGAGATACGATCCGTAGGTCTTGCCCAGCTCAATAAATAATAATAATAATAATGCCGCTTTATGACGGCTGACTACCAAGTGACATTGTTGCACCTTCTGAACAATGAGCCATGGCTAGTTGAAATCGAGCTAAGGTTGAGGTTTTGGACGCTCGATTGTGCAATGTTTGCTTAGCCGCGGCTTCGATTCGCTCCGGTCATTGTGTTGGCACCACCGGAATGGGAATGCGAATGGGAATCGGCATCGGCATCGAACTTGGGCGGCATCGAGTGGATTGGAGAGCCCGCGAGTTAGGCGGATCACAAAAGAGCGTCGAACCTGCGACGAGCTGACCAACATTTCAATTGCTTTTTCTGCTTATCGATGCACGCCCATCAAGGCGAGATTGAGGAAAAAAGTGAGCTGCGAGAGGAATCGTAGGTGGATCGACTTGGTAATACCCCGAATGGATCAGTCCAACCATTTTTATAAGTAGGCGAGTTTCCTATTGTTTTATTTAAACCAGATGATAAGCTTGAACAACGATCAAAACAATAAACAAGAGAGAACGCTATATAGTCGAGAACATCGACTATCAGCTGAAGGAAGTGCAAGGGAGATGGAGATATGCGATCATCAAAGCTACTCGCGCCATCTAGCGGCTGTTTGCATTTTTGCTCATAACTTTTAAAATCAAGATCCGATTTAAAATATTTCTTCCACCTTTTGATAGGTATTTTTGAACACAACAAATTTGCATTTATACTTTTATAATTATATACAATATATCAAGAATATCGATAAAACCTGATATTAATATTTTTTTTGGCAGTGTAGGTTCCTTATACTTCTTTTTTAAGTTAGTTTCTCAAACCCGATCAGTAATCCTGACTATCATATCCTCAACTTCACTTCATATTTTGGTTTTGGAGATTGTCGACGACCCTGAAATGCCCAGAAATTCCGAAAGCAAGGGTATCAGAGGGGCGAAAACACTTTCAACAGTGCAACCACGTGATTGCGAATGAAGTTTTTAGTTTTCAGCATTCAGCGCTGTTCAGTTATCTGGTGCTTTTTATCGTTATCTCGCTTCGCTTAGTGTCGTGTCTTGTGTTTGTGTGTCTTTTGACAAAACGGATTACCAAATCCAGCGACGAGCCAAAACAACAGAGATACCCACTCTTGTTATGCCATTTCTCCTTTGGCGCTGGCCCAATCCCAAACCCATTCCCAAAACCCAAACTCCAGGTCTCCAGATCTCAGGCCAAACCCAAGCGAAGACAACTTAATGCGCCAATTAAAGTGCCACTACTCGCGGACCTCTGGCACTCTCTTTTTTTTTAATTTTCTCATCTGGATGCTCTGCAATTGTTTTCATGCAAATTTCTATTTGTGTTTCGATTGGTTTGTGGCTTTGTACAGAAATTATTATAATGAACCCAAAGCGTATTCACTCAAAATGAAAGGTCCAGTCCATCCAGAGGCCCCTTTGTTAAAAGCCAAAAGAGTTACGCCAGCCAATACGTTTTATGACTTTGAACTTGAACTGGAAAAGTCGGAGACAAAAGTGCCGCTGCTCTTTTGTCCCCAAAGAAATTGGAAAGGTCTCGCGACTGCTTGCCTCGATCGAATATGCTGCCCCCTTTGTGAAAGGTTGCTCTCCCATGGCGAAGCAAGGTCGATTCTCAGCATAGGAAATATGGGTTAGTAATGGAAGAAAAATCAGAACATTGTCTAGAATGCGGAAATGGTACAAGTACACCAATAAAAAATACCAAGATCAAAATTCAAAAGTTTTAATTTCTTTTCCTTCGAAATAACCAAAAAGCATTTGATATTGATTTGTAAATTAATCAAATTAAAATCCTATCGCAAAAAATTGTTTTCCTCTTTCAATTTATTTACGTGTTATTAAATAAACACCAAATAGCCAAATTAAGCGAAAAATGAAGGGAAATGTGGTATTCAAAAGGTATGCAACAATTTGCCTCAAAAACCCCCCACAACGAAGTCCTGGATTCGCCACTGGTTTTAGGGGTGTTAAAACTCGTGTAAGCAGATTTTTCTATTTGAATACAATGGGGGGAAAGAGTGAAGAGACTCACTTTTTATTACAAAAAACATTATAAATTGGGAAACCTACTATTGAATCTCCGCCTAATTTCTGCGCAACAGATTTTCCCTGCCTTTCTTCCGTTTATCAGATTTATCTGGCGAGTATCTAAAGCACTTTGTTTACAGTGGGGCAGGGCAATCCCAGGCAACCTACACCTTCAGTCAGACAACGATGATACAGATATATATATATTTTTGTAGAGACGTGCGGTGTCATTGGTGGTGAACTTCGGTCTGCTTGGCTTCTTCGACGATCCACGACGATCCACCTTCGCCTTTGGCTTTAGCTTTAGCTTAAAAAAATTCAACTTCAACTCCAACTCCGTAGCCGATGATATTCCAGCTTGATGCAGCAGCAACACGAAGACCAGGTTGCCGCTGCTGCCGTTGTGGTTGCGATATAAAAACCGCGGGCATCGCCAGCGCCATCCGCAGTAAGAGGCGCGACTTTTGAACGCTAGCACAGCAGCTCCGAAAACGAATAAAAACCGAAACCATATAGAAAAATATAAACGCTACGGATCCCCGGTCGTGTCATCCATCTCAGATATTTTTTTGATTGTGGTGCTTCAACGAAAGAGACAAGAATTTTCTATCAAGTGCATATATATATCTATTCTAAATCAAAATCGGATTGAGTGTGAAAAAGTAGCTGTGAATTCGCCATGAGATTAGCATTGATATTGGTAAGATGATTATACAATCTCCTCCTGGAGAGGAAAACCCGGAAATCAGAGACCCACCCACCAATCGAATTGTGCAATTTGTGTGGCGGAGTAAAAACTAGTCGTCCAGGCTGACAAATTAATTTGCATTCAAGTGGTGCAGTGGCAGCCAAGCCGGCTTGGTCAGCTGGTGGTTGGTGGTTTCGGTTGCTTTTTAGTTTTTAGTTGGGAAAGTGGTTGCGGTTCAACCAACTCAACTGAACTGAACCGACCAGGCGAAGGAGGATGCATTGAACTCTAAACTCGCCCAAGATTATTTATCGCAATCTTGACCTCTGCCTTCCGCTCGACTGACCACTGACCACCGACTGCCCTTCCATGTCCATTTCCATGTCCGTAGTTCCATAGTGTCATCAATCAACCCACTGAGGTAGCTGCCTTGTTTTTTTTGCGGTTAATCGTCCACTAATTGGACGTTAAATTCCACGGTAGAATGCCAGATGACGATTGGTCAAGTGCCCACAAGAAATCCGTTTACGCAAATGCGCACACAGAGCGAAATTAGGGGGAGGTTTGAAAGATTTGATACAAAACTATGAGTAAACAGTCTTTTAATCATTTGGTCTCATTAGACAAAGAAGTTGAATGTTGGTGATTTATTTACTGATAGTTTCTTATTTGATTGACAAAATATTAATAATATACTTTATTGTATTCTATTATTATATATTTTTTCTATTCTACATTATTAAGAACTATTTTTGGGGAACTTTTTTTTACTATTACTATTTCTTACTATTACTATCTTGAGGAAAAGTCAAAGAAATTATTAAAAAATATATAAATAACTGTTTTAATTATTAGGATTATAAATTACAATTATTTAATACAAGTTTACAACTAGAAGAACTTCTAGCAATAAAATGCGAAATATTTTATATAAAATATGAGGTTATATGTAATATAACAGATATTTTTCTAATCATTTCCACATTTTTTTTGCTATACCTTAAGTAAGATTTCTTCTCAGTGCTGGAAAAACTCGAGCGGCGCAACCAGAACTCGTTTTCCGCAGTCACCACTCTCGTGTGTGTGGTTACATAAAGTTATTACACTCCATCGGAAGGGGAGGGGGAAGAAGGGGGACCTCCATCTCAGCCACTGGCAGGATAATCTGTAGTTGTCTAATTTACATTTTATTGTTGGCTTGGCTTTGATGTTGCTGCCGTTGGCGGCTGAAGCTGCTTCAGCTGCTGCTGACGGATGATGCAACAACGAAAGCGAAACAATAACCAAAACACCACACCACAAAAACTACAGACTACAAACTAAGCAAAAATCCGAGTCCGACTAATTTGCACGCGTTGCGTGACGATCGTTTGCCCCGAGTTTCAGTTGTTTGTAATTTGTAATGTCGGGAATGGGAATGGCAATGGGAATCTCATCTCTGCCTCAAAGAAAATCTGCACCCACAAATTAGCTCGATTTGATTCTTTTTTACGGCAAGTGAAAGGCAAAGGCGACTCTCCATCGATGCAATTAAATTAAATTATTACAGCGAAATAATTGGCAAAGATAATAAATCAATGCGAAAGACAGATCTAACTAGTTGCTGCTGCTCCTTCTGTTTGCTGGTAGCTTATATAAAAGCTCTTTGCTTTCTGCTTTTTTTGCTTTCGGCTCCCACAGCTCTAATGCACTTAGGAAAAAAGGTAGTAAATCCAAAGATTTCATATTTAATATATAAATAAATAAAGTAATATGAAATCTTTAAATTGAACAATTTTAGGATACTTTACAAATTGTAAACTTTGATTTTAACATGAAATATTTACATTAAATATTATTAAGATGAAATCTAATATCTTCTTCCTTTATTTTAATATTTTCAAATAAAATCATGCAATGAAATAAGTTTTATTTTTACTGTTCCATTTTTTTTCTGTGTGCTAACGTTTGACAAAAATTCGCAGCTGCCGAAAAAGTCTTCCTGCTTAACGGCTAAATAACAACTGCTACATAAGCAACATAACCAAGCAGTAGAAAAAGCAAAACAAAAACGACTATTAAAATGACTCGACTTGACACACTGTCCCAGTTTTCGGTTAACACACACTCAAACTCACTTACTATCTAAATAGTTGAGTGACAAAATGCAATTAAAACTTAACTAACCAGATAGGCGAATTTATGTATATTTTGCTGGACATGGAAAACTGGGAGAGGCGACGACTGACTGCTTCAATTAAATTTTGCAATAATTAATGAGTGTAAGTCATAAAAAGGCAGATGAATACTACCAATTTTATGGTTACTCATTTACCATTACATTTTTATTATTAATCAACAATTTGACATTTAAAGGCGAAATTTAATTAACATATTCTCAGACTAATAACCGACAATTCGCATGCATAAAACACTACAGTTATCGACCGTAACCCATAATCGTCAACCTAAATGATCACTGAAAATCGAAATCATTAGCTTATCTGTCACCATCTGCGACGAATCGAAAAGACTGAGAAAACGAGCGCTGAAATCAAAAGACTCAAGACACAAACTCAACCAGATTCAATTACAACACCAATTCGCTTGATGAAATGTCAAATGTGAAACCTCTTCTCAGCGTGTGTTTTTTGTACATTGATTGGTTGTTTAACGATCGATATTGAGAGCGAAATCGAGACAACACGATGGATGGTGGATTTTGGCCCACTGCTTTTGTCTCCAAATCCCCCATTGTCTCCCTTCATTGTTGTCTTTTGGCCTCTCACCTTGAGCCCAAACCAAGATTGGACCGAAACTGAAACAAAAACCGAAAAACCGCCGATTTGCACAATCCAAGTTGGTTTCACAGACAAAACAAAACATTAGGGTAAATTGCAACAATGAACTTGATGGTTAATCCATATGCAAATTAAAGGCTAGAAAGTGTTAACGCATTTCAAGAACTAAACTAAATAATTTAGTTTAATTTAGTTTCATACACTGAGAAGAAAGAAAAAATGTTTATTATTTCTTAATGAATGGGTTTTTTTTTAGATATTTGGGGAGAGCTTTATAGAATAGTCTAGATTATTTATTTTCACTTAAATTGAAATAATTAAAAGGAAAATATTTTGATTTAAATTTCCCTTTTTTCTACATTTTCCAGGGCACTTTAAGTGCTCTTCTGTGCCTGGCCAGCGGCTTGAGCCAGTCGGAGGTGCAAAGTGGTTCAAAGGGCTTTCCGAAAAAGGTAACAACCCTGAAGAAGCGGCCAACGAAAACGCCAATTTCCACCACTAGCAGCAGAGGAACCACCACGTTGAAGCCCAGTAAGCCACGCGTAAAGATTGTAAAGTCGGCAGCAGCAGCAGGAGCCACCAGGAGCACCACCAAAGCACCGGCTTTGGCAGAGACCTTTGGCAATCTGCCCGCCGATGACCTGGAATTCATCAAGGAGCTGGACAAGCAGTTCAAACTCCACGGCGACAAGATCAAGATCAAGGTGGAGCGGGATAATTCCACGGGCAGCGGTGGCAAGAACAGCAAGAGGACCATTGAAGGCGATTTGGGGTAAGTGGACTACACTTATAAAAATAAAGTGGCATAGTAAAAATAAATAACTGCATATTAAATCCAAAGACTTACATACATAATTCAACTTATTATTTAATACAAAACATATTAAATTTCATGATTTAATTTGAAATTATTTGAATCAAGGTTGAAATTATTAATAAAATTTTTAGTCATATTTTGTTTAAATATTTTATCTTAAAATTTTTAATTATTTATTCTTTTAAAGTGCAATATTAAAAAAAAAAAAAAAATGTTAATAAAGAAAGACAACATAGAAACTTTATTAAAAATTCAATTGAATGGGAAATATTATAATTTGCATATATTTTAATAAATAAATTTACCATAACTGAATAATTTAATATTTTTCATTTTTAAAATAATAAAAACAGCAATTTAAAATCCTTGGAGTTACTACTCATTTTTTTTATAAGTTTATATTGTAACTATATGCTTTTTCTTCCCTATAGATACGGCTACTCGCATCCTGGCTATGACTACACGCCGCCCAAGTTCATGTTCTATCCCTACTCGCAACACGATATCCCCTCTGGCTTTGCCCATCCCCAGCCGCTGCCGGAGGAGCAGGTGGAGCAGGAGGAGGAGCCACAGCAGCCGGCGGTGCAGCACCACAGTCACGGTCACAGTCATAGTCACAATCACAACCATGAACAGGTGACCAGCGTGACCATTGAACCCTCGTACTCCTACGAACTGAAGCCGCAGACTAGCTACGAAACCCAGCCGCAGCCGCAGCAGCAGCACACGGCACCCGAGCAGCCGCAGATCGATCTGCCGCAGGATGAAAAGGAGGGAGGAGCCCATGGCTACCAGGAGCCCGTCATCGTGCTCCGCATTCCCGGCCCGGCCAAATACGCCGCCCACTTGCAGACCCTCCTCCAGCAATATCTCGAGATCAGGGCCGCCCAGTACCTTAGTCTGCTGCAGGAGGCCGAGCAGCAGCAACAGCAGCAGCAGCATGTTGATGCCCCGCAGCAATACGGACCACCTGAACCTACGGCCAACTACCATCAGGAAGTGAGCTATGCCCACCAATTGGCACCCACACCGGCTCCCCTGCAGTACGCACCCATCGACGATGTCTACCAGAGCTACAAGGGTCGCCAGCAACAGCAGCAGCAGCAACAGTTGCAGCTGCAACATCAGCAACAGTACGAGCCGCAGCAGCAATACTACGCGCCGCCAATGGAATACCAGCAGCCCACGCAGTTCTACTATGCCCAACCGCAGTCACATTTGCAGCAGCAACCGCAGCTCTATCTGATAGCAATGGCACAGCCGGAAGAGGAGCAGCAATCCCAGCAGCGACATCACCATCAGCAACCCATCTATGTGCCAGAATCCGATCCACCCACAGGTCCTGGAGCTGCCGAGCACGAACACGAAGCGGAAAGCGAACCCCAGCACAGTCTTCCCATCACGGAGAACAACCCACGACCCACCCACACCAAGGTCATCTTCAATCCGTATCCCTACCAGCAGCAGCAACATGAGCAACACCAGCAACATCAGGCTGAAATCGAGGAGCAACAAGCTCAGTCGGAGGGCGAGCGACCCCCCTTCAACTACCATGCCCATGGTCTCAAGATGCGACAGGGGAAGAGGGCGGCCAAGGCAGAGCCGGCGAGTGGGGAGGGTGACCATAGACTCCAGCAGATCAGGGAGTACGTTAGAGAGAAACTGGGCGCTGAAATGGGTTCGGCTGTGGAATACAAGACGACGCAGCTGCTCGAGGGCTAAGTAGGTTCAGGGGGGGAATTTGGGATGGGAGATTTACTGCCTGGATATTTTGTTAAAAAATTGTGTTTAAATCGAATTGTTTTAAATCATAAATTAAATCCAGAGATTTTTTGGGGCCCTTTCCAAAAATAGGATGAATTTCCAAATCTCTAGAAATCAAAAATAATTTAAAAGTCACCTAAAAGTATGCCATACATTTTTGAATTTTTGGTTGGCTAAGTTTAAAAACCTATCAGAAAAATTTCAATCATTAATACCATACTACTTGACACCTTTTACCTGGATACCTTTTAAAACTATAGATATTGTTTAAAAATTACTAGAGATTTGAAAAATATTCCTTGTTCCCATTAAGTCTTGAAAAATATCGATCTCTTGATACTTAATGTGTTTTCCCTCCAAAGCAACGATGTTATCGAATCAATATTGAGAAATTATCGAAAATTTCGATCATTTTCATGCTCTAGTTCCCATACTCAAAAACAAATCCAACTAGACAGTGAATTTCCAGTGAGTGCCGTTGTCCCCGCCCCAATTAACTCGTATTGTTAACACAATTTGTGGTTGCTTCTTGTGCCTGATATAATCCGTTCATTAGTATTTATTCCAAGCTAGAGGAGCGGGAAGATCCCATCCCCAGGGGTGATCCTCCAGCTCCACAACTCACTCTCATCATCTGAAGAACCTGTCCACGATCCTCACAATGCTACAATGCCAAGGCATACTTTTGGGTGAAACTCGTGTTTCGTGGGGAAGCCTAAAGAGGTGCAATCGCTTTTCATTATTTTGTACGACGTTTTTTTTATGTTGTTTATATATACTGTTAACCAAGAAAATGTGCTGCTGATCATCATGTGTGCAATATTTAGTCTGTAATTAAATGTGCTTCTTGAATTTACTTATATGTGTACTTGTCTATCTTTGTATTATTAAAACGAAAATAAACTTATTTGAAAACTGGACTCTGGGAAACCCTTTAAGGACTACTAACACAAAAAATCAGACTGATCGGCTTGTAAGAATCGAAGATATAGGATGTTGAAGTTCATGTTCATATTTAGTTCATGAACTCGCTATTGTACAAGTGTATAAAAGCCCTTTAAAAAGCACGGTTAATTCATGTTTGGTTTGTGTCTGGGATAAAAACTTTATGAGCACAGTTCGAGTCTGAGCTAAAATAACAAAGGTACTTAGCAGATTTTTCCACCTTAGCTAACTTACAATTTAAATCGAAAATAGTCGATAATATCGATGATAATCTTATAGAACGGTTTATATATGAAAAAATTTCTTATTATTTGCGGCGAATTTCCAGGTAAAGTAGAAAAAAAACGTATAACCCGATTAATTTCCGGAAAACCAGATTTCTGAAAAATCATTCGAAAAGGAGAAAAGCGTCGACGGTTTTGGAAACGGTTGGTTTGGAAAGCAAGCAACCAAAACCGCCGTTGTCAGAGAATAGAGTTCAGTTAATATTAAATAATATTAAGCAAATTAAAAGGAAGTACACGCTGTACCCTTGAACTCTCGCGTTGGCTTCCCCATTTCCAGCTTATCTGTCATGTGCTTTTGACGATCTGCCCTTTCATTTGACCCCGTGTTTCATCCTAATCAATTCCGGAGAGAATCGATCGCTCAAAGCTCAGCTCTCGGGCGTTTAAATCGATTCCGCATCCAGTTGCACCATGAGAGCTGTGTCGTTCGGATCGTGGCTCTGGCTGGGATTGGGTTTGCTTTTCATCAGCAGCGATTTCAGCGTAGTTTTTGCCAAGAGGTTCCTGCGCTGCGAACTAGCCCGCAAACTGCTCAACCAGCATGGCTTCGAACGAAGTCTGCTTTCAAATTGTGAGTAAGAGCTATTTAAGTTAAGATATTTGTAGGTAAAATCAATCATCTCTCACATATATCGAAATGTAAAGAAAGAATTATAAATCGGACCATTCCTTAAAAAGTGATCGGCAAATATTGGAATTAAGTTTCAAGCAGTGCAAGCAGTCGATTTACTGTTTGCATAACTCCATCTCTCAACTCTTAAGATTAGTAACGAGATTTTTGACATTCTCCCTTGTTTTTGATATTTTCTCTTGTAAATTAAAAAAAGGTAAACCCTATTCTTTGCAAAATGAGGCGCTCAATGATTCCCTCTTGTCTGCATTTAAGGGATCTGCTTGCTGGAGCATGAGAGCGACCTGGAGACTGGAAAAATTACCACGAATGTGAATGGATCTCGAAACTACGGGTTGTTTCAAATCAACAGTAGATTTTGTCAAGAAGGAAGGCGCGGTGGCATTTGCAATGTCAAGTGCGAAGGTTTAAAGAGTTTCCTCAGGGAGTATTATTATGTATTTTGTTTAATTGTCGCCCTCAATATTTTTTCAGATCTTCTGGATGAAAATTTAACGGAATCAGCAACTTGTGCCAAGCGCATTCAGACCTCAGATGGTTTTCGTCACTGGGGTGGATGGCAACGCTACTGCCGCAACACCCAGAATTTGCCTAATCTTAAAGTCATCTGTGGGATTTGATTTAATAGGTTTATAAATTTAGTTTTATAACTAAATAATATAATCGGACGGCAGTAAAACTATACACCTGTAATACATACAACTGCAAAAAAAAAAGATAATAAAATATTAAAAATATTTTTCGCCAGGGTATTGCAAGCTTTTTGTTCTATAGTTGTATTTGGTGAAGACTTCTCAGAGGAACGAACAACGTTCGCTCTCCACTCTTAACTTTTAGAGGGACTTAATAGATTGCAAGGGGCTTTTGGAACTCGCATTTGTATACGCAATAAAGCATTATTATTTAGAAAAAAAACATTTAAAAATATTTATTTAGGTATACCAAAAAATTAATAACAGCGAATAATCAAAGACAACATTTAAAATCCAGCTCGAAAACTTAAAATTTATTCCTCATTACCTGCTATTTTTTGGCATTAGCGAGAGGCAGTTGAATTCTGTTGCCGCCTATAATTATATTATTTAATTATATTTGACCACTCGGTTGAGTGAGCCACGCAAATGATTAAATTGCATTATTAATGCATCAAAAGTGATAAGGACAGCAGCAACACACCACAAACAAAGCGGAAAAAAGGCCAAAACAAATTTAATCTCATTTAGAGGCATTAAAATACTCAAAGGGGGGAGAGAAAAACAATTTAAAATAAGTAATGACCGACGAGTAATTAGTCTATCAGTGGTTTCATGTGGAATGGGAGGTATGTATTTATGTTTATTTCGTTTAAAATTTAAATATAATCTTGATTATATGTTGTTTTTAAGAGTCCAATCTGGTTAAATACCCGTCCTCAACTTAAATCATTTCAAAAATCCAAAAAGCAAGCTTGGAAATTAGGTGGTCTTACCGGAACAACCTTAGGATGCAAAAAAAAAGTATTTATGAATGGACCTTCCCTGTAAGTGGGAACAGTTGTATTTTTAGATGGGGACAGTGATAAGGGGAAGGACTCTGAGCAAGTTCTAAGAGCCAAGTTAAAACTGGAGTTTTATTTTCAAAAAAAAAAAAAACAGACAAATTTTGTTTTAAAATAAAAAAACTTACAGATATTAAAATCTGATACAATTTGAAATGAAATCGAAATTGAAGTAAATACAATAGAAAGAATATTGTAGAGTTTAAGAGAGCGCAATACTGGGAACACCGATAAATGTAAGCTGAGCACTAATTAAATATAATAAAAATAATCTCGTCGGAGCAAAATAATATTGAAATTAAAATATTTGTAAAGAATAATCTAAATATAAAGTGGTTACCCTATACCAATTTCCCCTTTCTTTCGCTCACTTAAGAGCGCCTTAAGAGAGCCAAATACTGGGAACAGCGATGGGAACACTTTTGAAGTACAAAGCCTTGAGACCTCAAGCAACTGTCCCCTTCTAATAGGAGGGATTGCTTTGGTCTGTAGCGTGTCTGACAGATTGACAGGAATGGGGCTTACGAGGGGTATAAACAACAAGAGTTTTTGGGGGTAAGGACCGACCCATTGGAGTTGAAACAAAAAAAAACGGGTAGTCGGGTAGCTAGCTTGCCTAATTTAAGTGCTGTTTAATGATGAAACACCGCAAGCGACGGTTGGAGTTTGAGCTCGAATCCCTGAAGTCCTGACCTTCCTGGGAAATACCTGTCCTTCTCCAAACGGCAGCAGGCAACAGGTAAGCCAGAAAAAAACAAGAGAGAACGCTATAGTCGGGTGCCCCGACTATCAGATACCCGTTACTCAGCTAAAGGGAGTGCGAAAGAGATGGAGAAAAACTTTGATCCGCCGTAACTTTTTAACGAATGGTCCGATTTAAAAAATTTCTTCTACATTTCGATAGGTATTGATAAACACAATAAAACTGCATTTTTACTTTTCCAAAATATTGAAATTTTTAAAATCGTATATAAGCGATTGTGGGCGTTAGAGGGGGCGTGGCACCCTTTTGAAACAAACTTGCGCTGCGTAGGAACTCCTAGAATCCGCATGCAAAATGTCAATCTTCTAGCTTTTATAGTTTCCGAGATCTCAGCGTTCATACAGACAGACAGACAGACAGACAGACAGACAGACAGACAGACAGACAGACGGACAGACAGACGGACAGACGGACATGGCTAGATCGACTCTGCTAGTGATCCCGATCAAGAATATATATAGTTTATAGGGTCGGAAACGCTTCCTTCTACCTGTTACATACTTTTGCACGAATCTAATATACCCTTTTACTCTACGAGTAACGGGTATAAAAACAAATCTGAGGGCATACATTTTCAAAGGAAAACTTTATTCGATTTTTATGACAATGTGACAAGCGCAGAAATTTTTCTTCTCCCCTTTTTTGTCCTTCATTGTTGACAATCGGGAAAGTTGATGTTGCTTACAGCCATTTATGGTCATTTACACAGCGGCAAATATTCAAAATTAATGAGACAATTTGTATTTAATTAAATGAAACCCTTTTAGCTTTAATAAACTTCCAATAAAAAAATATCCAAACAAAAAGAACCTTTTTTTCGACATAAATAATACATTTAAAGGTTCATCTTCAGTGAAATATTGCCTTCAGTGCATTGTTGTTCACTTTGGGGTCCTGGATTCATTGTCACTTGCAGGTCTTTCAATTTCCCAAAAAACAAAGAACGGTGGAAGGGGAAAATAAAAACAAACAAGAAAGTGGAAAAAAAACGGAAAGTGTGGCATGAATAGAAGCTTCTGCCGGAAGTCGATTTTTGAGCGGAAATAATTTTGCCACATGTTGGCGAAATAAAAACACGCGAAGGAGGGGGTAATCTAAAACAAAGTCACGCACAGAAGAAAATCGGAGCGAACAGCGGAGAAAATTGCGGCGGGAAACGAAGGATGGGGAGCAAATCCTTCTTCATCCTTCCGCCCTTCTACTTCCTGTTTCACTCCATTTGCGTTTTTACTTTATCAGGTAGGGACTCACATTTAGATATTTCTTTAATAATTTTCATCTATTATTGAAACAGGTGAAAGTAATCACAGCAGCTGGATTAGCATGATCATTTTAATTTTCTTGATTTTTCCTCTTATTTTTTTCTTATTTAATTTTAAATATTTTGCTTATTTAAATTCCCACAAAAACCTTAAAAAAAACGCCTGAGTAACAGGAATTTTCTTCTTTTTTATAAACTTTCTTATTATTGCCTTTCTATATACCAAATTCCCAGCAATACAAAAATGACCTTAAAGTGGAACTGCACTTTCATAGTATCCCAATAAAAATATGACAAAAGCGCAGAATGCTGGCATATTTCCGCTTTTGTGTTGGGTTTGTTCTGCTTCAAAAGGGCGACAGCCGAAAAGTGTATGCACCCGGTTGCAGAATCGTAATATACGTAATATCAGAGGAGCAAATAAGCTTAGATGACAGCAGTAGTACCGATTCTTCTCCTCCTTTCTTTCTTTTTTTTCGGGCTAACTGGCAAACAATGGCCGCCATAATACCGCACAATAGATATTTGTATTTGTCAGGGGGGCAAGGGGTGATAAGGTTGCTAGGTGCGAATGCAGATACATAGAAAGTTATACGAATGTTACGTGAGCAGAGTGCCAGAGCAGTGGAAACTGTAACAATGGGCGGTTGTTACACACTGTTTCCACTGTTTGACCCCGACGACACCTTTTCCTTCTCTTCTCTTCTCTTTTTTTCGCATGATAACCCTTACCCTTCCTTAGCACCGCCGTTGCAACGCATTTCGTATGCAGCTCTTGTCCAGCTTTTAGGGGTTTGCTTCTAGTTCTTCTGGTTCTGGGTTCTCGTTCTTCCGCCCCCTAAATTTCCTACCTCCCATGTTTCGCTTTTATTTTCACCAGCAGCAGCAGCCGGTGGAAGCTAAGCAAACAAGGGAAACAAAGATTAAGACGGGACAGCAAGATGAAAAGACAAAAAGTGCAATTTGCAAGGACAACGTTGCGTATGCGCGATGTTTAAGGGGCATGTTATATATTTAATATTCAATTTACTTTTTGAATTTTTGATAAAGATAATACAAATAATAAATATCACTAGTACTCATGGTAAAATGAAATAATCAAAAAGCCGATTACTGTCAAATTTATGATTCAAACATATCAATTGGATATTTTATCATATCAGTTATATTATAAATATAAAAAAAAACTGCTTTAAAATACCGAATTTAGTATTTTTTGAAACAAATAATAGATTTAAAAAGATAAATATAATATTTCTTGAATCTTTTGTCATTTTTCGGTGTAGAATTACAATATACAAATACAATGACTTAGCTTCCTTTCTTTTTAAATATTAAAACATCGGTTAGTAATACCGAGCCACTTTCGGGCAATTTATGGCAATTAAGTTCTTGTACGAAATCTGCATGCGAGAGATGTGACAAATTGGTCGCTATTAAAGCCAATTATTCCATTTACTTAGTCCTTTTGCTCTCGGCTAGCACACATCATACCCAACCAACCACCAAACAACCCAGCCCACACGCGAATTTAAATCAAAATCTTTATTAAAACATTTTATGCAAATGAATAAATAAGCAAGTGGCGAAGAGGAAAAAAAGAGGGCCGTCAAGGAGCCCCCGTTGAAGGGAAAAGAAAACTGACTGACAGCCGTCAGAGATGATTCAGAAAGAGACGCAGATAGTTGGGGCGAGTGAGAGGGGGCAACAGTAATACATTTACATAAATATTACAAGGCTATTACTCGCCTCCGAGCCTCAATGCCGCCCCATTCATAGGAAAAATACACGTGTGTGTGCATTACAATAATGTGAAAATTATTTGTAATGTAATTTCAACTTAATAAATGTTCATTTTCATATAAAGCGACAACTCATTTTACTCCGTAGTAGGTAAATGCGGGGTTACACTGGAATAAAAAGCCCGAATTTACAAAGGCTTTAGTGATCACAGCGTAATGTCTAAAATAAATTAATAGAACTGCTTATAATGTCCGGTGTCATAAGGCCCGCGGGCGTTATGACATGCACCCATCTCTGAGTATATTGTCGATTTAAAAACCACTTATTAATATTGGCTATTGAATACCATATCGTATATTGCTTTATAATATATAATATTGAACTCTGTAGAGTATATTTTCAGTGCTTTTGAAATTACAGAAGCCAACGGTAAGAAGAGGTGGGAAAA